TAAAACGTGTAGGCTTTTAGATGCGAATTTCGTTTATTTTCCTGTTGTAAATTTTACATTACATGTTGTTTAAAAAAAATGTTGGTATGCATAAACGAAAGCCTTTGCCGAAAATAGTCTTCTTAAATCTTCTTCGCCGCAAATAAACACAAACTTTTTGACACAGTTTTAACTTGATGACTCCCATTTGCATACGTGACGGACCGGAACCGTGTCGTCTGATGCAAGCCACGTGGGACGGTTACAGCTCCACGCATGCGCATTGGGGATGATGCAAATAAAACTTGTGGTTGGTAGTTTTCTGGTACAGGATGAACTTTTTATACGATTGATGTCTTGGTAACCACAGTATAACACCATCTTCAATAGCTGTTTGGTGTACATTGATGACAATTTATACCACATTAACACCATCTTCAATATTGATGTCTGCGGGACAACACCATAACACCATCTTTACTATCCGCTAAGCGTAACATCGATAACAACTAAAAACACCATAACACCATCTTCAGTATCAGATTAGTGTAACAAATATTATAATGTATAACTAAATGGTCGGCATTTTCGAGTGGTACAGCACACAGTGCTAGCCCGAGATCAGAACCCGAGCTAGAGACCATACGATATGCCTGAGTTTACCCAGCTCTAATGGGTACCCGTCACGAGTACGAGAATGCACGAAGACGTCACGATACCAAGGTTATCGAGATCATAAAAACATGCGAACCGTACTTTAGCTGCATCCTATCTAAGGTCAAAGTTCCTATTCTACAACTAGTCTATGTTGCTGTGTCTATGTTCCTATTATACAACCCTAGGGGAACGAGTGCTTTTCGTTTTGTTATATTGTCTTCAAAGGCAAAGCATGGTTTGTACAGCTATGTTAGTAAAATAAGCACATGCTTTTTTTTGCTCATAATGTCTATAGGGTGACATTTGAAAGATGGAATGGATGAAGTGACATTTGAAAGTTTGGACAAATAAGGTGCGGCATAACTGGCTAATATGTTAATTCATTGAACTAAACATTAGACATGGCACGTTTTTGATAAAGAAGATGGAATAAACACGTTTAGTTAAAATAGTGAGATGCCCAAAAAAAATTTAAACATTGTGTATGGGGGGGGGGGGGGGGGGGGGGGTCTGGAAAATGTGTATAATATGATGGGTTGTGATCTACGTAAAGATGTCTAGCAATTCGGCCTGAATTATGTGAACCACATGTCTTACCGTGTCATCACACTTACCTATCGCTATTGGCCTTCATAGCTTGAACGTCAGATCTGACCCATCAAAACACGCGTTACTCAATCGCGACGAGATATAGGGGCGAGATGTGGGGCGAGATGTGGGTGTGCACCAGCAAGATGGCGTCACAATGTACACCACGTTTCACCAGTGCAGGCCAGTCAAGGTGGTTTACTGCTTCTATAGGCCCTACCTGTTCACGAATTTCAATTAAAAAAAATTGCAGTTTTAAATGTATGCAAGAACATCTTTCTAAAGTACGTTAAGAATATCTTCTGTACAAGTCTGAATTTTTTTATTTTTTTTTTGCATTTGTAAGGAAATAAGGAAAACATGCAATATGGGGAAAGCCCAGTTTAGCACATTATTAAAAACTATGAAAAACCTACATCAAGCCGCAATAAATTAGCTTTAAGTGTGCTTTAAATGCCCATAATATCACACAGTCAGATGAACTCTAATTCATCATTGAACCCTAGGTTCGAACGCGTAGCTTTACTTTGGTTTGCGTGTCTTGATGACTATTTATTACTCAGGAAACATTTTTTTTTAAACAACAACCAAATGGTACGGAGCGGTAATGTGAGTGGAGGTGGGTGGGGTGTGTATGGTGTGAGGATGGGGAGTGGGGGGGGGGGGTAAGAAAATCTAACACAAGCTCAGACTAAGACCAGCACACTTAGATATGGCGGGGTATTTAGGCAACTAAGTATATCACGGGGGGGGGGTGGAATCCCCGAGACTAGCTAGGTAGGTCCCTAAGTATATCACTGGGGCTCATCAACCTGAATTAGAAAAAAGATGTGTTTACTGTCTATCTCCTGGACTTTAGATTGAACTGTTGATGCTGATCAGCACCATATACACAATGGTTGACTATTGTGGTGGTTGTATTAGGTCCTTAACGTTGGTTTCTATCAACTATGGAGCGATTTTTGGTAACCGGAAGTGGTAGGGCCTACTTTCCGCAATTTACGGGTCATCACGAACCTTCGAAATTTGTTAATTTACTTCTTATTATCATAAAGCAGTACAATCTATATTATAAGAATGTTTCGTTCCAATGTGTATTCTCTTAAAACGAGAGGTTTTGACACAACTTGACAAATAAAATACATCAATTTACAAGAAAGTTTAGGGGAGTTCATATATTCATAACTCCTTTAGTTATAAATAATTTATAAATTAGTAAATAATTGAAAACTATGCCTTCCCTAAAAACGAACATTTTGAAGTATAAAATTCAAGGGAGGTAATGCATATAATTTTAAATTCGGCATTCGTGTTGAAACAATTTTTTCTGTTACTTCCCCTGAGCAGGTAAAGTAATGCAAACAGTGCTCTGCTACCAGTACTGGTGTGTTGAATCAAACAGGCCTAAATAAATAGCAAGACAGCGGCAGGCCCTAAATTAAAATGCTGATTTTGATAAAATACCAGGGTTGGTCGTTTCAACTATAAGTTAATGCTAATGGTAAATGTCCGCAGTCTTTCAATACTTTACTAGTTGGTGGGCCAATTTCGTCACTTGAACAATAATTTGTATGTATGTGGATATGGTCCGTTTGTAGAAGGTGTGGTCATCGTGTCCAGTAGGGAGAGGGTCAGTTTTCATCCTTTAAAAGTCAGAGCACAGAACTTTGGGTTCCATGCTATTGGGATAACTCGTTTACTGTCGGGATGGCTTGTTAATGCCAAGTAAAGGAATTAGCAGAGCGAGTTGGGTTCTCACGAATTCACTCAACCATTGACAGGAGCGTTAAACTAACGATATTAGACCTGCCATGGGCTCTCACTAAGAAATACAGCAGTACACTGCCTTGCCTGACTGACGTCAAAGTATAGCAACTCACCAGCCAGCTACAGAACCATTTCAATGTGTTTAGGATAGTTCACCCACCGGTACATAAAGCTTTGATAAAAACATATTTTTAAAAATTCTACCATCGCTACCTTAGTATTTACATGTCTCGCCTGATGGATTTTGTCGAAGTACCTACCTACTGAGGTCAATGGCAACTTTGTAGTTCAGTGATTTACTGTTGGTGGGGGGGGGGGTCTGTACTTTACGATTTGTTTATTTGTATTAGTTTTATAGAGAAGTGGGATGTGTGTTGATGAAACGCGACATTAGAACAGGCAAAACTTTCCTAAACTTCCGTAGAAACCCAATGACGAGTCTACTCAACATTGTTAAAAACTTTAATTAAACACTGAAGGGCAATAATTCTGGATAACATTTTTTAACGAGCAGCACACAGTTTAAAATAGAATCTACAACTGTAACGACTTTGCTGCGTTTCCATTGTGATGTGTTAGAAAATGTGTTGTACGCTATAATATTACCTTTTTTATTTAAAAACAAAATATATATTTAGGTTTCAACACAGTCTTCGGTAGTTACAATAGTGTGGAGTAAGTTAACTTGGGAAATTGAAAAAGCTGAACCCAGTATTTATTGTTTATTTGTCACACACACACAATAGCTGCTCATTGTGAGTGTATGAGATGAGTGTGTGGGTGTGTGAGGTGTAACTGACACAATATGGTTGTCCGTTGTATGTAGACATGCTGACGTAAAACAGGACAGCAGTGGCCCAGTGTTAACACCGTGGATACAGTGTACATGGTGGGCTGTTAACGTGGGGACAAGGATGCGAGCTACAACAGGATGTCATGGGCCAACTCGGAAGTGTGACAATGTCTTGACAATCCCATATGGCAGTCCTTGCACGATGACGATCATGGGTGTTACAGCGCTGAACCCACTTACACACTACAAATGTTAAACACGCACCATTTCAATGTTAACTTGATATAAACTCATACCCACATTCTCATACTGTCAATGTTAAACACACACCATACCATTGTTACCCTGATATACACTCACACACCCACACTCTGCCAATGTTAAACCATACCGTACACAGTGGTAGATTAGCATTCTCATTACGTTATACTACACTACAGGATGTAAAACTACAAGCTTTGTCGTGTGTTCCATATACACATGGCTATAGGCTTTTGGCTTAGGCTATGTGCTTATAACAAAGAGGTATTCAGATAGAAAATTGTTTCGATATCGTGTGGTAAATTGTTCCAGGTAAAAGGTCACCATTGGTTATTTATAGGGTCACCACTGGTTATTTATAGGGTCACCATTGGTTATTTATAAGGTCACCATTGGTTATTTATAAGGTCACCATTGGTTATTTATAGGGTCACTTAACAGTACGGGAATCTTCTATATATTTTCTAGATTTTAAAAGCCAAACGTCAGTAATTCAGAACAGATGGTAACCAATAAAAACGGTATGCCTCGCCATGCATACATCACCATAATTGATGCTCTGGTTAATAAACCAAGCCTAAAATTGGTGCATAATGTGTAGGCCTTATTAGAATATGTCCCCTACCACTCACAAATACAAATATAGAGCTCTAGACACATCTATAATTGTCACTTGTTGTCTGATTGTTGCCGGAAAATCACTGAAGCGTGAATGTTGATATTTGACCTGCCTAGCCTTGCCATTTTACCCGGATCACTTGATACATATTATTTTTGTCACGATGACTTAACAAAAAAATGCAGTTAGTGTAAGCTAACGTTATTTTTTTTTAAATAATGGCACACCTATGATTGTAGGCCCTATAGTGGACATCCATAAATCTATCTTTAGTTGAAGTACAATCACTACTCTAACTAAACTGGCTAATCACTTTCATTTGAAATACAGATCTCAAGTAAGCCGTCTCTGGAGAAAGTAAACATTGATATCTTTAACCTAGATAAAAAGGTTCGGCTTCTTGATTTCCAACATAAGAGAGAAAACTGAGGCCCATTTTATACAAGTAAGGATAACAAGAATATCTTATCACAAGATTTATTATAATTCGAGTCAGGCTATTTGGGCTAACATATAAGAACAATAAAGATTCGTGACTGATAAGAAAAGATTCCAGCCTTGTAGTCATGATGATGCATAAAATTCCTAACGCTAGTCACGCCTGAATTCACAATTAATTGACAAGTAAATATAATAGAAATGTGTAGGTCTATTGGTAATCCTCCGGGTAGTCTAAAACATTCGTATTCGAATCGCATGCATGCACCAATAAAAAAAAATTATGCATGATGACTCGGCGAAAATAGATAAATAGACTGAATAGCTACAGCCTAAATATATTTTGGCTGCGAAATAGAATATAACAAACGCTGGTTGAGTATGCTACTTCTTTTGTAAATGTGTTTTTTATGTATTTTGTTGGTTAAAAGATAAGTTTACTGTTAAGTTTCGCCTATTAAAAAAATAAAATCTAAATATATTTTTACAATATAAATATAACATGGGAAGCAATTTAAGAAACACCGAGTTATTATTGGCGTGAACTTTGCTTAAGGTTCAAGGTCGTTTTAAGCCGGTACGTTCTTTCTGTTAGTCTCGCGTGATTGTTTTCACAGCGTGAATACCGAGCAAGTCACTTTAGCAAATTCAGATCTAGATTCTAGAATTTAGATCAACATTTTATTCATTTAGATTCTACTAACAACATAGCAATGAGTCACTACCATAGACCAGATTCTCAAACCATCCAATCTTTGAAAGACATTGCGAATAAGCTGAGGATACACAGCATAGAAGCAACCAATGCGAGTAACTCTGGGTAAGCAAAAAGTCAGACCACTAGAGAATCTAGTCCAGCATATTAAAAATTATTAACCATGTTTCACTTAATAACCAATTTCCATTTGTTGGTTAAAAAATTAGGCCTTAGTAAATGTACTAAAAAAGCCTAGATCTAGATCTGTATAAATGCGTTTTGCATTTCTTTGTTTACAGTCTGAATAGATATATTTAATTTATTATTTGTTAGCTTGCCTAATGAAGTAATGATCTAGCTAGATTCTAGGATCTATGAATCTATGATACTGCAGATGTGAGATAGAGTGTAGAGTGTAGAGGTCTAAGACAGATAGGCTGAGAACTTTTCTAATTCATTAGTGGTTAGTGACATTATTAGGCATTAGGGCCTTAACAGAATTAGTTTGTTTTTTTTTTTTTTAAAAAGGCCAAATTAAATTTTAAAATTATTGGTTTACAGTTTACACAAATTAGGCCTTCAGTGTATTAAGCTCTAAGCATTATAATTTATAAATCATCCAAGCCAAATTGATTTAATTAATTAATTAATCCTTTATTTAGGCCTATAAACTATAAATTATTAAGCCTACTAACTTCATTTTTCATATTTGATTTACTATAATGAATAATAATGGTAATATATTGATTAACTTTATATTAGTGCTTTTGGCATACACATTCTCCTTATAGGCCTACATTTTAATATTTCTTTTAAGTTTAAGAATTTCTCATTATTTCAGTCAGCCAATTAATTTTAAAGTTTAAGAATTTTGCATTATGATTTCAGCCACCCAACATCATGCTGTTCTGCAGCAGACATCATGTCAGTTCTGTTCTTCCACACTATGCGTTACACCATCAAAGAGCCACGTCACCCCAACAATGACAGATTCATTTTGTCTAAAGGACATGCCGCCCCCATACTCTATGCAGCATGGGCTGAAGCTGGTCTTTTCCCAGCCTCTCAGCTCCTAGACTTGCGCAAACTCTCCTCAGACCTTGAGGGACATCCTACCCCTGTAAGATACTTTAGTGAGATATTTACCAAACTGTATAGAATTGCTTGATTTTCCATTATTTTAAATTCTAAAATTAGCTTGTTTTATAGCCGAGCTTTGATTTGTGTGTAGATATAAAAATACATTAACCTTTCTCTTGCTGATTGGCAGCGTCTGAACTTTGTGGATGTGGCCACAGGATCTCTTGGCCAGGGACTGAGCTGTGCTGCTGGTATGGCATACACAGGAAAATATTTTGACAAATCTGAGTAAGTAGAATTGGTTGGGATCTTTAAGCGGCGTTTTAGCAAGATGCTGTACTTATATCAATACAATATACATTCAATAATTGTATAGCCTTTACATTGTTTTAACCTTGCCATTTTCCAGCTATCGTGTTTATTGCCTGATTGGTGACGGTGAGAGTGCAGAGGGATCCATCTGGGAGGCTCTAGCCTTTTCTAGCCGCTACCAGCTAGACAACCTCGTTGCCATCTTTGATATCAATCGTTTGGGTCAGAGTGAGGCCACAAGTCTTGGCCATGACCTGGATGTGTACAGAGCAAGAGTGGAAGCCTTTGGGTATGTCCTCGACACCCCCCCCCCCCCCTTCTAAACTAATAACTGTAGCTAGTTTTACTTACCTTTGCCTGAATTTAAGCTAACAGTCTTGAGTGTATTTGTTCCCCTTTTGTAGATGGAACACATATGTTGTAGATGGTCATGATGTGGAGGAACTGTGCAAGGCTCTATGGGAAGCAAGCCAGGTCACTGGGAAACCTACTTGTATCTTAGCTAAGACTTACAAAGGCCAGGGTATTCCAGGTAACATCAGCATGTTATTCTTATTGGTCTGTTTCCATCTTTATTATTGTAGGATGTGTTCCATTCTTTAAGAATTAAATATATCCTAATGTAAAATACAATTAGTTGGTAAAATTTAAATCTTGTTGTTATTAAACAAAAGAATTTGCTTTTTTATTTTGACAAATTGTAATTTTAAAGAAATTGTTTGTACAGCATCTTGTATGTATTTCTAAATGTATCAGGTGTTGCTGATTCTGATAACTGGCACGGCAAGCCATTGGGAGACAAAGCTAAAGAGGCAATAGAAGCAATCAAACAAAACATTGCTAACCTTGACACTCACAATATCATTGCCCAACAGCCAAACTTGGATCTGACCCCTATCAACACTAAAGCTCTTCTGTCTGCCCCACCTTCATATAAAATGGGAGAGAGTGTAAGCATTATCTCCCCTGCTTTTTTAAAATTAGGCCTATATTAGTTTTTATTTACTTTCAATTTAATCTAATTAGCAGAATAATCATATGATAATAAGTATCATATATTGCTCTGTTCTAATTTATTTTAATCTGAAAATATCAGTTAAGGATTGTAACTTGCATTTTTTAAAATTTTCAACAACACAAGGAAATTTTAGTTGTTTTTTTTCATTTATGGTCTTGCTTTTTCACAGCAATGTAATTGGATTTAATTTTTTCAGGTTGCTACAAGATTAGCATATGGCACAGCTTTGGTGAAGCTTGGTAAAGCTAATAATAGAGTTGTAGCAATGGACGGGGATACTAAAAACTCCACATATTCCCAGAAGTTCAAGGTAAATGTTTCATCTGTAGCTTATAGCCTCATGACTCTGGGGCACATGGGATTACAGTTGATGTAAATGTTTCAGCAGTATCTTACAGCCTCACGACTCACAGTTAATAGACATTCCATTTATCTCTGATAGGATGCATTTCCCGATCGCTTTATTGAGTGCTACATTGCTGAACAAAACCTGGTGGGAGTTGGAATTGGCTGTGGTACTCGTGATCGCACTATTCCTTTCATCAGCACATTTGCTGCTTTCTTCACTCGTGCATTTGACCAAATCCGCATGGGTGCCATCTCTCAGACCAATGCAAACTTTGTGGGTTCTCATGCTGGTGTCTCCATTGGTAAGTTTCGATGTCTTGTAAAAAAAACTTTATAATGTGATCTGTATAACAGTATTTGTAGTATGCCATTAAAATTTGTGATTATTTTCATAAACATACCAGGTTTTCTTTTATTTTTTGTTGAATAGTTTCTTAGGTTTGATTATAGCAAATGTTGTACTATAATAAATTACTTTTGTTAGTTAACAATTCCAGGTTTATCACTTTATTTATTAATTTATTAAACTAGCAGGCCAGACAACAGCTATACCTTTGTTGATTAAAAGAAAACTAATTTTCTCTGCAGGAGAAGATGGTCCCTCTCAGATGGCTCTAGAAGACATTGCCATGTTCCGCTCTGTCCCTGGGTCCACAGTGTTTTACCCCAGTGATGCTGTGTCTACAGAGAGGGCTGTGGAGCTGGCAGCCAACACTAAAGGCATCTGTTTCATCAGAACCAGCAGGCCAAATGTGCCTGTCATTTACAACAATGAAGAGGAGTTTGTTGTTGGAAAAGCTAAGGTAAATGTGATGCTTGTAATTATTTTAAAAATGTATTCTTCCTCAGTATTTTCATCAGCATCAGTCAGTATAGGCTTGAATGTATATTAGTTGTGGCTCAAGTTTCACTTACTTTTACTTGTGCTGCCTTTATCCCATTAGTTCTTTATAAGAGGTCTAGACTGTTAGACTGTTCAGTGTTGAGAACAATTCTCAAACTTTCATATGGGTAGATTGTAGTGTTGAACTTTGAAATTTTTTTTTTTTTAAACATAAGTTCTGCCAGCCAAAATACATGAAATAAAAATGTTGATTACCATTTCTTGTACAGATTGTGAGACAAAGCACCAGTGATGTCGTGACTGTAGTAGGATCTTGTGTGACCCTGTATGAAGCCCTGAAAGCTGCAGATATTTTAGCCCAGAGCAATGTCAACATCCGAGTCATTGATCCCTTCACCATCAAACCCATTGATGGAGCAACCATTTTAGCCAGTGCTCGTGAGACAGGTGGAAAAGTTATCACTGTGGAGGACCACTACGCAGAAGGTGAATTTTTGTCTTGATTACAAGGATATACTCATGACCTGCTACTCTCACAGCTAAAAGTACATAACATGAAATTTGTATTTACAATTTTTCCATAATTTGAATTTGAAAAAATTTATTTTCAGGTGGTATTGGTGAGGCTGTTGCAGGAGCCCTCAGCGCCTATCCAAATATAACAGTGAAGAGGCTGTTTGTGCCAGAAATACCACGCAGTGGCAAGTGTGAGGAACTGATGGAGAAGTATGGCATTAGTGCTTCTTGCATTGTCAAAGCTGTCAACAGCATTCTGTCTGCCTAAAGCTTTTCATTTAAAGGAACATTAATGCCTGCAGTGTGGCAATTAGGTATTTGAAAAATCATTGGACAAATTTAGGTGTTAACAAAGGATTTAGTTTCATTGCTTGCATAATTTTACTTGTTAAACCATTTGTATATGGTGCAATAACTTTTGCATCTAAGTTGTCATCATCCATTTAGCATTTTTTTTTGTTTTACCAATCTTTGATCTGTATTTTCTAAAAATCAATTAATTTAAGAGGCATTTTTCCATCCTTGTAAATTATATTTTAACTTTGCGATAACTTTGCTTTGGTGTTTATAAAGTTTCTAATGTACTGGGGTTTTTTTTATTAATGTAATTATCAAATTTAGGAAACACAAATATTCAGACGTTAGGTACATTCCCATTTGCATTGTATTGCAAAAGATCTGCTTTAGTTTATTCAATTTTTTTGTATTAGTTACATTACAAATTACAGTAGTTTATAAATTAGAATTATTTAGTGAGCAAGGTAACTTGTCTGTAATTAATTAGACCAGTAACTTTGTTTTTATACATTTTTGTATATTTTGTCATACGTGTTAATTCAGTATAGCAGATGATTTGTTTCTTCTAATAAAAATGTTGGAATCAGATGACTTGTTCTTCCTTGACTCTTATCAATATTTCAAGCAATCACTCATTTTACATTTGTACACATAAGTGGTACCTACCCCTTCAATGCAAAATCTGACCTTCACTTATTACTGAACTGTAATGCATAAATAAGTTTCCAATAGTTGGTAATTAAGTTTTAAACGGTGAACCTTAGTTAACAGGGATCTACAGTACTCTATTTTCACATGCATCTTTTGTGTAATGCAAGTTAAAATGTAGTTTTTTTATAATGGAATGGATAATGTCATAACAGGCGGGTGGTGGTGAAACAAAAAATTGTAAGATGTATAGAAGTAAAATGCTTTTTGCCAGTTTAATGAATGAACTTGTAAGTACAAATAGTCTTTTAAGTACTAATTGATGATAATGATGTGGGTGACACCATAACAAAAAGCTGTTAATTTTAGAGAAAACAATGCTTCAACCTGCTGTATTAATAACCAATTTTAGATAAATGTTGATACTATTAACTGTGCCCACTTTAAAGCTATCACCCAGGGGTTGGGAGTGACACCAAAATTTACAGAGGAAAAGTTTAGTTGAATATTTTGAATAGCTAAGTCAACAGTGTGGGGGTGACACCATATCTACTGATTAGCTATGCAAACTTTGCTTTTTTCCACATGAATTAATAGGTGGATTAGTGTACACAAAGTCACACTATTTGGCAAAATGGGAAGGGTTGACACTAATTGCAAATTTATACCCTATAGGTTTTTCATTGGGGGGTGACACCATGAGGTGTCGCACTGGGTGACATCCGACCTAGTGACACCACCATGGAGTGATAATCAAATCTTTTATTTACTGACAAAAAAAGTGAAAATAGCTCTTTTAAAATAAAAATTTATTTTCTATTACTATTACCATACAAACTAAATCAGTTCTAACTATCTGATACAGATGCATGTTGTACATAGTTAGCTTTAAAAATTGACTATGGGTGAATAAAAAAAACACTTAAATAGTGAAAAGACAAATGTATCACAGATAATACAGACACCCACAAATATCAATGTAGGCTGCCCATTATAGAATAATCTCAAACTGAGTTTAACTAATTAGATCTAAAGGCTACTCAAGTGAACTTAGCATAACAAAATATTTCAAATCATTTAGCCAACACTACACTAGCAAATATAATGTGGTTACATCAAAAGTAAGCCATGTTAAGTACCAGCTAATGCTGTTTTATCTTCATATAACTTCTTTCCTCATTTAAAAACCAGATCATTTATCATCCACTGAAAGATGGACATTTGTTGCATATGAATTTAAAAAATTAAACAATTATAATCATTAATTACAAAAATACTTGTAGCTGTAAATATATTTTATAAAAATGTAATTTAAAAATAATAAATATTTGTTTCCACTGCTCAAAAGAAAAACAGAATAATTCATGGTAAAAAATCCATTAATTTACATTAAAACCTTTCTTACTCCAGAAACCCTGCCCCCTCTGTCCACCATGGTCCAATTAATCAATGACCACCACCTTTCTTACTCCAGAACCCTGCCCACTCTGTCCACCATGGTCCAATCAATCAATGACCATCATCTTTCTTACTCCAGAACCCCGCCCCCTCTGTCCCCCATGGTCCACCCAATCAATGACCACCATCTTTCTTGCTTCAGAACCCCGCCCCCTCTGTCCCCCATGGTCCAATCAATCAATGACCATCATCTTTCTTGCTCCAAAAGCCCTGCCTTCTCTTGGTCCTCTCCAGCACCTGAGAAGCGAGGGAACTGCTAGAACTGACTGACATCAGAGATTCAGACAGAACATCCTCATCACTGTGGCCAGATTTTTGCAGTTTGCCTATAATAGAGAACAAAAGAAGAATATTTTAATAAATTAAAACACTAGCCAACTTAGAGGTTGTGTGAGGTGCTCAATAAATTCAATTATAAAACTCCTCACTAACCCAGGTTTAAGCTGGTGGGTGTTTTCTTGTAAGTTTCTCCGAAACCTTCTTTCAACGTTGACAGGTTGCTAGGTTTAGGTACTTTACTTTTTCTTTTTGGTTGCATTTTACTTTCATCATTTTCCTTATCTGAAAAATTAAGTTCTAGATTAAATCTTTGTGCAACTGAAGCAAAAGATACATAATTTAAAAAAAGCTTTCCAAAAATTAAAATAATGCAACTGTATAAGAAAATTGCTTCTTGCAAAAAGTGTTCTTGTAAACTTTAAAACCAAATATTTAATTTTGTACAAATTATAAGCCAAATTAGTTTGATCAATTTTGATGACAAATATTTCATTATTTACCATCATCACTTCCTGGCAATGGAGGGGAGATAACATACTTCATCTTCATAGGTCTGTCTGACTCAGCTGAGTCGTCTCTCAGTGGGTGAGTATCATTAGACGGTTGGCCAAGGGTTGGCATTGTTAAAAATGTATCAATGTTGTAAGTCTGAAATCAGTTCAGTATTAAAAATGTTTTGTGTTGTAAGTCTGAAATCATAGTAAGAATATCATTAGGTGGTTAGTTCAATCATTAAAAATGTATCAATGATGTAACTCTGAAATCATAGTAAGAATATCAATAGGTGGTTAGTTCAATCATTTAAAATTTTCCTGTGTTGTAAGCTAACTTAAAAATAAAAACAATAATATAGGAGAAACACAGAGGCCCGACCAAAATAATTTACAAATAAAAAACTAAAACCTTTACCTTAGCAAGTGACCTGACCGGGTAATCATCAGAAGTTGTTACGTAACTGTCACCTACAGATCAGCAACATTTTTGTTGTGGATAAAATCAAATCATACAGAAATGAAGGAAAACTACAATGCTAGTCTGGTTATTTATAATGCCATACTAGAATATGATCTGTCAAAATGCCAATTTGTGGTTGGTCACAATACCAGACTGGTCAGTCAAAATAGCAGAGTGGTCAGTCACAATAGCTGAAATATTGTCAGTTGCATTTCCAAAAATATGGTCAGTTGCATTGCCAAAAATATACCCAGTCATAATGCCCTGTGGTCAGTCACATTGTCAAAAATATGCCCAGTCACAATGCCCTGTGGTCAGTCACATTGTCAAAAATATGCCCAGTCACAATGCCCTGTGGTCAGTCACATTGCCAAAAATATGCCCAATCACAATGCCCTGTGGTCAGTCACATTGTCAAAAATATGCCCAATCACAATGCCCTGTGGTCAATCACATTGTCAAAAATATGCCCAATCACAATGCCCTGTGGTCAGTCACATTGCCAAAAATATGCCCAATCACAATGCCCTGTGGTCAGTCACATTGTCAAAAATATGCCCAGTCACAATGCCCTGTGGTCGGTCACATAGCCAAAAATATGCCCTGTCACAATGCCCTGTGGTCAGACCCAATGCTTACCAGACCGTGATGTCATAACAAGCTTGCTGCCCCTGGTCGGAGGACAGGTGAGAATGGCTCCTCCCACTGCAGGTGTGGTCAGGTCAAGGTGATGTCTTCTCACAGAGTTCTGCTGCCGCAGTAAAGGTGTGGGAAGTCTCCCCTCCTGGTCCCTACCTTCAGGACCCCCCTCGTCAGAATCTTCTTCATCTCTCCTTTGTTCTTCTCTCAGTTTCCTGATAGCATTGGACAGAATGGCTCGATTAATCAAAATTTTAAAATATTGTATTTGAAAAAGATATAGTAGTTGTTTTACTTTAAATATTTTAAAATAGAGTACACAAATACCTCCTTTGTTCTGCAATGTTTTCCTTCTGTTGTTCAAGCCACGCCATTTTTCTGCTTTTCCGAGGGCCCTCAGTGGGTCTTGATTTTCTGACTGGTTTTTTTGTGGTCTCCCTTGGCAGATCATCTGAGCTGTCCTCGACGTCTGAGAAATCTGGCGAGTCGCCCTCTGTTGCCTCATGGGAGCAAATCTCAACAGGGGAGTTGACCTCCTGCCTGATCTTGCGTTGAACTCTCGTGCTAAAAATATCATTTTATACTTTTAACTTTATTGACAAAAATATTGCATTAATATATTTTTCAACTCAGTAAAATATATTATTTAATTTGTATGTACTAAAATAAGATGCAAACATTGCTTTTATGTCAATTTTAATATACATAGCTCAAGTACTTAGTTAAATGGTTTTTGATAGGGTAATATTAAACAATTTTTTTGACCACTCTAATTCCCACATAACATAGCCTACTTATGTTTGTGTTTAGGTTCAACACATAACATACTTAGGTTTGTGCTTAGGTTCACCACATAACATACTTAGGTTTGTGTTTAGGTTCACCACATAACATAGATAGGTTTGTGTTTAGGTTCACCACATAACATACTTAGGTTTGTGTTTAGGTTCAAGATATTACATACTTAGGTTTGTGTTTAGGTTCAAGACATTACATACTTAGGTTTGTGTTTAGGTTCACCACATAACATACTTAGGTTTGTACTTAGGAGCCTCCAGGTTGAGAGCTTTCAGTGTCTGGGAGTTCTCAACCTCACTAGAGTCATAACTGTCAGTTTTTTTGGCCAACAGCTGCAGCAAATGCTCCCGTGAGAAGTGTGTTCCTTGGGCGCGCTTCTTGTACTCTTCTGCACGTCGTCGCAGTTCAATGACCTCAGCATACCAGTTAGACAAAGGCACTTTTTCTGCATTGTTGTTGCTGTTATTGTTGTTGTTTTCATTAAAGTTATCACTGTCACTCTGTAAATTTAAAGAAAAAAAATACAATTTAGTAAAGTGCTTTTAAATCATTTTTCAAATAAGCAGCTAGCACATCTACATTTCTTAATATTTTGGACTTTATTAATAATTTACTTGCGACTTGCTCTCTATATTGATAAAAAGTTCCATTTCCAAAAATAATTTTTATACTCATGTCAATTTGAATCAAATAAACCTTAGTCTTATGAACATTGTCTTACTGTAACTTGAGGTATCAGCTGGGGTGGACATGCACCTTTCCATGCTCCATGTTCATAGCTATACCTCAGTGGAGATTTGAAGTTGGCACGGTACTCCGTCGCAGCTCTCCTAGAAAATAAAACATCATGGTTGCAATGCTATTTTTATATTTAGATATGAATACATCAACTCTGCATGCCAGGTGTCATGAATACATATTTTTGTACAGTATTGAAGCTTATAGGTTAGATCTAGAGTACAATTTGTGCGATGAGACCTAGCACTAAAAGAGTTGAAAAGTGGTTTAAAAATTTAAAAATTATAAAAGAGATGTCAGTGGGGTTATACAAGTGTAAAAATCATACCGTATCTGTCAGTGGGGTTATACAAGTGTAAAAATCATACCGTATCTGTCTGTGGGGTTATACAAGTGTAAAAATCATACCGTATCTGTCTGTGGGGTTATACAAGTGTAAAAATCATACCGTATCTGTCTGTTGGATTACACAAGTGTAAAAATCATACCGTATCTGTCTGTTGGATTACACAAGTGTAAAAATCATACCGTATCTGTCTGTGGGGTTATACAAGTGTAAAAATCATACCGTATCTGTCTGTGGGGTTATACAAGTGTAAAAATCATACCGTATCTGTCTGTGGGGTTATACAAGTGTAAAAATCATACCGTATCTGTCTGTGGGGTTATACAAGTGTAAAAATCATACCGTATCTGTCTGTGGGGTTATACAAGTGTAAAAATCATACCGTATCTGTCTTTTGGGTTATACAAGTGTAAAAATCATACCGTATCTGTCTGTTGGATTATACAAGTGTAAAAATTATACCGTATCTGTCTGTGGGGTTATACAAGTGTAAAAATCATACCGTATCTGTCCATTGGGTTATACAAGTGTAAAAATCATACCGTATCTGTCCATTGGGTTATACAAGTGTAAAAATCATACCGTATCTGTCTGTGGGGTTATACAAGTGTAAAAATCATACCGTATCTGTCTGTGGGGTTATACAAGTGTAAAAATCATACCATATCTGTCTTTTGGGTTATACAAGTGTAAAAATCATACCGTATCTGTCTGCGGGGTTATACAAGTGTAAAAATCATACCGTATCTGTCTGTTGGGTTATACAAGTGTAAAAATCATACCGTATCTGTCTGTGGGGTTATACAAGTGTAAAAATTATACCGTATCTGTCTGTGGGGTTATACAAGTGTAAAAATCATACCGTATCTGTCCATTGGGTTATACAAGTGTAAAAATCATACCGTATCTGTCCATTGGGTTATACAAGTGTAAAAATCATACCGTATCTGTCTGTGGGGTTATACAAGTGTAAAAATCATACCGTATCTGTCTGTGGGGTTATAAAAGTGTAAAAATCATACCGTATCTGTCTGTTGGGTTATACAAGTGTAAAAATCATACCATATCTGTCTGTGGGATTACACAAGTGTAAAAATCATACCGTATCTGTCTGTTAGATTATACAAGTGTAAAAATCATACCGTATCTGTCTGCGGGGTTATACAAGTGTAAAAATCATACCGTATCTGTCTGCGGGGTTATACAAGTGTAAAATCATACCGTATCTGTCTGTGGGGTTATACAAGTGTAAAATCATACCGTATCTGTCTGATGGGTTATACAAGTGTAAAAATCATACAATATCTGTCTGTGGGGTTACAGTTACACAAGTGTAAAAATCATACCATATCTGTCTGTGGGGTTATACAAGTGTAAAAATCATACCGTATCTGTCTGTTGGGTTATACAAGTGTAAAAATCATACCGTATCTGTCTGTTGGGTTATACAAGTGTAAAAATCATACAATATCTGTCTGTGGGGTTACAGTTACACAAGTGTAAAAATCATACCATATCTGTCTGTGGGGTTATACAAGTGTAAAAATCATACCGTATCTGTCTGTGGGGTTATACAAGTGTAAAAATCATACCGTATCTGTCCGTGTTTCTTTTTCAGCTTGGACCTCAAGTTCTCAGAGTGTGGTCCAAATTGAAGGTCATCGACCTTCATATCATCAGTGTCATCAGATTCCACTACAGCTGTGATTTTAAAAAAGTACAAGCAGATAAAACAACAGGTAAACAGCTACATCTGGTGTAGGAGACCACACAAATAAAACAACAGGTAAACACCTACAAATGGTGTAGAAGACCACACAGATAAAACAACAGGTAAACAGCTACAAATGGTGTAGAAGACCATACAAATAAAACAACAGGTAAACAGCTACCAATGGTGTAGAACACCATACAAATAAAACAACAGGTAAATAGCTACAAATGGTGTAGAAGACCCTACAAATAAAACAACAGGTAAACAGCTACCAATGGTGTAGAACACCATACAAATAAAACAACAGGTAAACAGCTACAAATGATGTAGAAGACCATACAAATAAAACAACAAGTAAACAGCTACAAATGGTGTAGAAGACCATACAAATAAAACAACAGGTAAACAGCTACCAATGGTGTAGAACACCATACAAATAAAACAACAGGTAAATAGCTACAAATGGTGTAGAAGACCCTACAAATAAAACAACAGGTAAACAGCTACCAATGGTGTAGAACACCATACAAATAAAACAACAGGTAAACAGCTACAAATGATGTAGAAGACCATACAAATAAAACAACAAGTAAACAGCTACAAATGGTGTAGAAGACCATACAAATAAAACAACAGGTAAACAGCTACCAATGGTGTAGAACACCATACAAATAAAACAACAGGTAAATAGCTACAAATGGTGTAGAAGACCCTACAAATAAAACAACAGGTAAACAGCTACCAATGGTGTAGAACACCATACAAATAAAACAACAGGTAAACAGCTACAAATGATGTAGAAGACCACACAAATACAAGAAATTTAACACTGGTACTCACCTCCCACACTTTTGCTTCTCTTACTCTGGGAAAAAGAAAATTTAAAAAATTACATCAACCTTGATCTAGGGAAAAATTTGCTTAAAAAATTACATCAACCATGATCTAGGGAAAAATTTGCTTAAAAAATTACATCAACCATGATCTAGGGAAAAATTTGAAACAGACCAACAACTCACTGATTGTTTATAACAAACACCATAACAACAACTACAATGTGGCCTAGCGGTAGAGGGTTAGACTGGTAACCATAAGTCTTGAGTTGTTCAAATCTCGTTTCAAGTCAGTAGACTATCCTTGAGTCCACCCAGATCTTATAGGTACCTAACTCACGTTAAGGAAAGTAAAGACGGCTGGGCATAGTGCTGAACACAATATCCCTTCATATGTCAAGGTCACAGAAACAGGTGAACTCTACTTCACTTGCCCCATAGACCATCAGGTTTGGAAGGGGAACTTTACTTACTTAACAGCAACTAAGCACTGTTACTAATCTCATAACTTACACATCAACAACACAGTTAAAATCAATAACACCTTGTATCTTACCTCAGCCTTTCTCTTGTGTGTCCTCCTTCCATTGTGTGCCTGCATTAGACTGCTGTTGTTGGCGTTCATGTTTTTATCTCCCCCAAAACCAGTTGGCTGCCATTGCTGGAACTGCCTGGCATATTCTGAGACTTTAGGAATCCCATTGGTCTTATAGGGGCCAAGGTCGGCCTGACTTTTGTACACAATCTAAAAATAGAATCAACATCAAACAGGTCAATAAACTTACTACTATGACATGACAGTTACACAGAAGATTGAGTATTGTACAAATTAACTGGCGATTTTTAAACATTTCTAACACTAAAGTGAGACCTGTACAGCCTCTATAATTAGAAATCCACTTGGCTAAAAAAAAGTTGATGTGCACAAAATAGGAAAGGTAGTCAACAAAATCTTTCATTGGCAAAGAAAATTAGTTCATCTCAATGGTAAACAATAAATCTCCAAGTCCCTGTCTTGTTTTAAAGATCAACTCTTGTTTTTATCTGGGCTTAGAACTCAGCCAGAAGTATTGGGTACCAACTATGATAACTAATGTGTACCAACTATGAGAACTAATGTGTACCAACTATCAGAACTAATGTGTACCAACTATGAGAACTAATGTGTACCAACTATGAGAACTAATGTGTACCCACTATCAGAACTAATGTGTACCCACTATGAGAACTAATGTGTACCAACTATCAGAACTAATGTGTACCAACTATCAGAACTAATGTGTACCAACTATCAGAACTAATGTGTACCAACTATCAGAACTAATGTGTACCAACTATCAGAACTAATGTGTACCCACTATGAGAACTAATATGTACCAACTATCAGAACTAATGTGTACCAACTATCAGAACTAATGTGTACCAACTATCATAACTAATGTGTACCAACTATCAAAAAAATGTGTACCAACTATCAGAACTAATGTGTACCAACTATCAGAACTAATGTGTACCAACTATCAGAACTAATGTGTACCAACTATCAGAACTAATGTGTACCAACTATCAGAACTAATGTGTACCAACTATCAGAACTAATGTGTACCAACTATCAGAACTAATGTGTACCAACTATCAGAACTAATGTGTACCCACTATGAGAACTAATATGTACCAACTATCAGAACTAATGTGTACCAACTATCAGAACTAATGTGTACCCACTATGAGAACTAATATGTACCAACTATCAGAACTAATGTGTACCAACTATCAGAACTAATGTGTACCAACTATCAGAACTAATGTGTACCAACTATGAGAACTAATATGTACCAACTATCAGAACTAATGTGTACCAACTATCAGAACTAATGTGTACCAACTATGAGAACTAATGTGTACCAACTATGAGAACTAATGTGTACCAACTATGAGAACTAATGTGTACCAACTATGAGAACTATTTTGTACCAACTATGAGAACTAATGTGTACCAATTAACAGCACCAATGTGTACCAACTATGATAAATTACAACCTGCTCAGCTGCCAGCAGTGGAGATGCCTTCAAGCCCTGCTTCCACTGAAACTGTTTCTGGTACTCTGACATTTTCTGTAGACCTCGTGGGGGCGCCACACCTGCCTTATACTTCAGTGCATAGTCTGCCTGCATCAAACACAGACCAAGATGCCTACATTATATTATCATTAAAGTGTAATCAAAATAGAAAATAATTACATTTTTACAGAGGAAATAGTTTTCAACCACCTCAATTAAAAAAAAATAATTTTTCTACATACTGCTAACTAAAGAAAATTGGGAAGAAAAATCACATAAGGAAATAAAATTTACCGGAGCTTCAGCTGTTGCTATGGCGATGCCTTTCTTTAGATTGGTTTGAACTGATTCATTCATGTTTGAGACCTTTGCATCCTGGGACACCTTCATGGCAGACTTAGTCCCACCAACATTGGTCTGGGTCACTTTATCTTTCTCTAGGGTCACGTTTTTCTTGGTCACGTCAGCTTTAGAGGCTTTGGCTGGGGAGTCCCCTTTATTTTTAACAAGATCTCCGTGCTTGTCAACAGATGGTTGTTGACTGACGGATGACTTTTCTGGTTGACTGACGGATGACTTTTCTGGCTTGGATGACTGTTTGACTGGTTCTTCCAACATTTCTTTCAGGTCTTTATCTTTCAGCCCTTCCTGAGGAAATGTTCACACATTCATGAACACAGGGTGGGCTGGGTTAGCACATTAAGCTCCAGAAGATGAAACTCAGACAGACAAATAATGTAGCACAGAGTAGCAAATTAAATGTGATGAAAGTAAACTGATTACCTAAAGTACTGAATACAAATGTGGTTACAGTGATTAACAGATGGTAAAAAAGCATGAAAAGCATGGTGAAAAGTTTGTCAATAACATACAGTGTTTACAAAAAGTTTAGGACTAGCGTAGAATAATTGATGATTTATGTAGAAACAAACGATGGAGAATGGGATGTATTATGAAGATGAAAACAATGGAAAATGGGATGGATTAAGTAGAAACAAATTATCGAGAATGGGATGAATTATGAAGATCAAAACAATGGAAAATGGGATGAATTAAGTAGAAACAAACTATTGAGAATGGGATGAATTATGAAGATAAAACAACGGAGAATGGGAACAGTGAGGAAATGAACAATGTGAGAGACATGAAGTAACCAACCTTGATCTCCACATTGTCCCTCTGACCCCTGGGGGCTGGGGGTGGGGAATCTACAGCAGCTTGTGACTTGGGGGGAGACCTGCGTATTGGTGGGGAATCTACAGCAGCTTGTGACTTGGGGGGAGACCTGCGTATTGGTGGGGAATCTACAGCAGCTTGTGACTTGGGGGGAGACCTGCGTATTGGTGGGTGCCTTTCTTTCAGCAGGGGTTTCTGTCAACAGGATTTGACTTTTTTACAACAAAATAATATTATACCAGACATAACGGAGGTACTCAAGGCTGGGTGTGGTCTATGGTACTTGTCTAAAAACACTATAATATGGTGGGGGGAGGGGTTTAATCATTTCCTACAGATAAGTTACCTAGGACCACACCACATTTTATAAAAACACAAAAGTCATATTGTTTTAATGCACAAAATATAAGTCATATTGTATTAACTCAAAATATTACAAAAGTCATATTGTTTTACTCACAGAAATACAAAATTCATATTTTATTAACTCAAGTATGAAAAACAAAAAGCAAAAGAAATGTTCAGGGTAACAAAAACTGACCACTTAGGTAATAAATAAAAGAAAACCCGGAGGCTTTAAAAAAGGTATTTAGATGCAATAAAAGCTTGATAACAGCTGAGAAAGGTACGCAGGTGACTAGACAAAAATCCATGACTTACAATTCTCCTCTGCATTCTGAGCTGCTTATTAGGGGGAGCCTCCGTGTCGAAGTTCTCCTTGTTTTTGTACATCTTCTCATCAGAGAATGTTTGCTTGGGCTGGTAGCGAACATTGGAGGCAAACTTTTCTTGCTGACCTGTACGGGAATATGTGTTTGTAGTTTTTTATTGTAACTAGGTGGTGTGGTGTATTGTACAACACACTGGTAATGAACATTGGAGGCAAACTTTTCTTGCTGACCTGTAAGGGAATATGTGTTTGTAGTTTTTTATTGTAACTAGGTGGTGTGGTGTATTGTACAACACGCTGGTAGCGAACATTGGAGGCAAACTTTTCTTGCTGACCTGTAAGGGAGTGTGGGATTGTATAATTTTTTATTGTAATTAGGTGGTGTGGTTGTTCGGTACAACACGCTAATAATAAATATTGGAGGCAAACTTTTCTTGCTGACCTGTAAGGGAGTGTGGGATTGTATAGTTTTTTATTGTAATTAGGTGGTGTGGTTGTTTGGTACAGCACATGACTGCTAATCTGAAAGTCTCAGGTTAGAAATCCAGAGCTTGAGACCGTAGAATGCCCCTGAGTCCACCCAGTTGTGAAAAAAAAAAATTAGTTTAAGTAGTAACACAAACAATCAGAGAATCTTCTAGACTTAAAATTACTTAATGAATTAATGTATATAACTTGATAAAAACATTCCAATAGAGATCATACAATTACAAATTTTCAAATAGTCTCCTGTGAGACCAAGTCCTACAGCTAGTCAAAATAAGTCATTTGAACACAGTCATGTGACTGATGTCAGCTAACCTACCTAACAAAGAGAACTGGTACTGACAAGTCATTTGAACAGTCATGTGACTGATGTCAGCTGACCTACCTAACAAAGAGAACTCTGGTTCTGGTGCTGGAGCAGAGAAAAACTGCGTAGACAGAGACGTTGGACAACCTTCCAGACGTTTCTTGTGCTGCAAGGCTGGCTCTGCTGCAGCAGCTAGATGGAAATAAACAGTTGGAGTACAGAAATATCACATGACCATCACATGACCATCACATCAGGAGGAACACACAAATATCACATGACCATCACATGACCATCACATCAGGAGAAACACACAAATATTATCACATCACCATTCACATCAGAATACAAAAATATCATCACATGACAATCACATCAGGAGAAACACAAATATTATCACATCACCATTCACATCAGAATACAGAAATATCATCACATGACGATGACATCAGGAGAAACACAAATATTTATTGGTCATTGTTCACTTTCCTGAACGATTTGAACACAAATTATATATAATAAAAGTAAAAGTATGTGTGTGTGTTTGTGTGTGTATCCTTTATGCATTACTACACCTTTCATCCAATAGGCATGAAACTTTGGGGAGTTGATGACAATACTCCTGGGAGTATTGACCTATTTTGAAAAAAAAAAAAACTTGGACAAGAGTAGCTTCCTTTACCTTGAGACTGACCAGCAAAATACTGTGTGGAGAGAGAGGTAGGAACACCCCCAATTCTTTTCTTATGCTGCAGTGAAGGTTCTAGTACATCAGCTGATGTTCAGGGAAAGGATTAAGTTTATTGTTTACTAACACCACCAGATTAAACAACAATCCCAATATGTTTTTATAGAAACAAGCTTATGAAATAAAATGTTTAAATTAAAGATTTAATTAAATCAGATACTAAAATAAATGTATGAAAACAAATGTAATGTAATAAAATTGTGATATTACTGCTATTGTATTTATTTATTCCAACAAAAAAACAGCTTTTTTTTTTTAACTTTAAACGCTGTAAAGTTGTTTTTTTTTTGTTTGAACTGATTTTCTTTTTTTTATGTTAAAAAATTCTAACTGCATTTACTATTTAGATTTTTTAACTGAAACTAATAACTATTATACCCAAAAAGCTGATTGTATAGTTGTAAAAATAGTAAAGCTGTTGTGTAAGGTAAGCAAAATGTTAAAAAAAACTGTGGTCTTGTGATCATCTGACCACTTGGTAAAACTTTTGTGCTTATCATCTGTCCATATTAATTCATTACCAAATACTATACTTTAATCAAAATAATTTGAAATTTACTATCAACAACAATTAAATAAACTGTTTATGCACAAAATATTTGTTTATGACTTTACTTACCTAAATATAGGTATATTAAAACAAGGAATAAAATCCAATGAATAGTGAGTTAAGCAATAGGCACCACATGCAAAGCTACATTTACATGTTATAAGGAGGGCTATGCATTGCAAATTCTTTTTAAAATTTAACAAGAACTTCTTTTAATGACATAGTCTTAACAAAACTGATAAATTTACTTATTACTTCAATACCTAAATTTTCATTCCTTTTTCCCTGGTCCATTTTAAAGGAAACTGTTGCAGTAATCTCAATTTATTGGCTATTTTCAGAAGTGTTCTGGAACATGCAAAAAATCTTGACAAATTAAAAATTTAATATAAGATTACGATTAGGTTGTAATTGAAGAAAGTTCACAAGTGGTAAATTGATGCAAAAAAATTAATAAGAACCAGCATGGACTGAACAGGGAAAAGTTGTGCTGAAAGCTCATGAAGTAAATTGTTGGCATATATGATTGTTTCATGCTAAGATAACATTAGGATACTCAAGGTCTGGGAATAAGCTCTTGTTAAACCTGCACTACATGGCTCCTTTGAGTGATCTGATAGCAAGTGATCTTTGTAAGGATTAATATAAAATAAATGTAAGTAATGTTCCAAAAAAAAAAATATGTACAAATTCAGTTTAATAGGTGAAAAAACATAATTATCAGGAGAGAACTGTTACTTCGTGTTTTGATATGTTTTTAAAACTTCAATCCATAAAAGGCACGTAAAAACAGAAGAGTGAAACCAGCTAAACTTACATTAAAAAAACCTAGACAGATGCAAAAGTGACCTAGTAACAACTATACCTCTCCGCCTACACCAACTAATTTTGTGCATGATAAAAAAACACAAATATCAAATATATGAAGTGTACCAGAGTTTCTACCTAAGACAATCCAATGTTAATCAAAGTGCTAACAATATCCCTTGTAAATTAGTTTAGTTTAAACCTAGATTTGTTGTTTAACAGCATGCATCATGCACAGTAAATCAAGCACCAATGCCAGGAACAGTAGTATTCTATGTCATGTTAATTCTACACGGAATTGTTTACTTCATAAGCATGTGAATAATGTACATCAAAAGCAAGCATTTATTTAAAATAAGATATTGCTGTTGAAATTTTAATACAGGCAACTTATTTTACTAAGAGACATAAGCCAGTTGGATGATAGATGGGAAACACACTAGAAGAGAAGCTGGCCTTCCCAGCAGGATGCATTTTCTGCTCAAGTTTTGGTTTAAATTTTTTGCTCCGAAAGGATTCAAGCCATCGAAACTTTGATTTGTACTCAGAAATTCCCTGGAGAATCAAAATATTTAGTAAAATGATATCATTTAGTAGGCCTATACTTTAAATACTTTAATATATTGCAATTTACTCCACTTAAGAGGCAATAAATATCTTGAGCTGGCTATAGACCAGTGTTTCTTCCAGACTTTGTTCTAAGGGGGGGGGGGCACTTTAAATTTGTGGGGGCGCGGACACTGTTCAAAGTATATATTTTCTATATAAATTCCATTTCATTTGGGGGGTGGAAGACTGTCTTCGGGGTAGCAAAGCCCCCCCCCCCAAACAGATGGCTGAGGGCTGGAAGAAACTCTGCTCTAGACATGGACTCTAAACCCTATAGTTTGCAATGCTTATGTAATATAAACAGAGATTATAACAAAAATATAGGACCTAGGGCCATACACAATAATCAAACAAATCTACTGTATTCAGATACACTAGCTTCACCACCTTTTACAACAAATAAACAAAGAGTCTTAATACTTAATAGTAGGGCCTACTTATTCTAAACTTGATTTAAGCTAATGTGAAATATTATTGTAGGTAAAATTTTAATTTAGGCCTTAGCAAACTTAACTTGGGCCTAATTATTAAATTATTAATATAAATTAATTAGGCCTATAGGCGCCTAATGACTATACTTAGATACTAGACAGGCCTCACAAAAATAATAAAAAATTTAAAATGAATTGGAAATAGGAGCCTAAATTTAATTAGGGCCTAATGATAAATAATAAATTAAATGAATTAGGCTAGGCCCTCCCTACCTAGTGTGATGGAGTGGTCTAGCGGTAGCGGTAGAGAGCTGGACTGCTAACCCGTAAGTCTCGAGTTCGAATAATGGGTTCAAGTCAGTAGACTGTCCCTGAGTCCACTCAACTGTGATGGGTACCTAACTCACGTTAGGGAAAGTAAAGGCGGCTGGGTATAGTGCTGACCACACTATCTCTTCATATGCTGAGGTCACAGAAACAAGTGAACTCTACCGTCAGGTTTGAAAGGAAAACTTTACTTTTTTACTCCCTACCTACCTCGGCTAGTCCTAGGCCTATGAGTTTTTAAATACTAGGCCTCCAAAAGTAACTAAATCACTAATGAAGTTCTAACTTCTTTTTTATTAAGCTAGCCAATAGGCCTAATATTTAGAATTATTTTGACCAATAGGCCATTTAAATCTTTTTCTAGGCTAAAATATCCAATAATAAAACAAACTCAACTATTCGCACATTAAAGATCCAAGTCCAGACTTGACTGAACTTCTGGTTCTGTGTAAATTTAAATGGTTTTTTTTTAGACTGCTGAGCTGAAGTGTACCTGGCGGCTAACTATAGAACGTATTATAAATTATTGCATCTCAAATTCATTTAAAGGTATAGATCTAGAATCTAGTTATAAACCAATTTTAAAAATGCACACACCTGAAAGTATACAGGCATGAGTGATGATTCTTAACTTTTACGCGACTTTGGTAAACACAGTGCAGTTTAAAAAACAAATATTTCTTGTAACGGAAGTTAAATTTAGCGTCTACCACAACGCGCAAGCGCACTGGTCTTGGGATATAAATAATATCGAAATAATAATTACAAGTAAAATCACAAACTTGTTAATAAATAATGTTAATGTGGATATGATTCATTGTGGCTAGTGATTGTGAGTTATAATTATAGACCATTAAATACATTAAGATTAACTTTGAGGAAGACAGTCGCCGCTACAAAAATAGGCCCATAGGCTAAAAATAAGCTAAAAAGTGTAATGATATGCAGTGGCGTAGCGAGGTCGGGTGTCACCCGGTGCGGCACTTAATGGTGTCACCCCCCAGAGGCGTAGCGACCCTTCCCGGGACAAATTTTCGATTTGCACCCCCCTCAAGCTTTCGATTTGCACCCCCCTCAAGTTTTTCTCTATATATTTTGCTATTTTTTGCCTTGGTGTCACCCCCCTAAATGGTGTCACCCGGTGCGGTCCGCACCCCCGCCCCCCCCCCCCTCGCTACGCCTCTGATGATATGGCATACACACACGAACATCTCGAACTCCAAATACGGGTTGTGGTAGGGAGGACATCACAGCCTCCATCCAAATTTAGTAGTACATCACTGACTGAGTGACTCCATCCAAATTTAGTAGTACTTCACTGACTCCATCCACTGTTAGGACATCACTGACTCCATCCACTGTAGGACATCACTGACTCCATCCACTGTAGGACATCACTGACTCCATCCACTGTAGGACATCACTGACTCCATCCACTGTGGGACATCACTGACTCCATCCACTGTAGGACACTGACTCCATCCACTGTAGGACATCACTGACTCCATCCACTGTAGGACACTGACTCCATCCACTGTAGGACATCACTGACTCCATCCACTGTTAGGACATCACTGACTCCATCCACTGTTAGGGCATTACTGACTCCATCCACTGTAGGACACTGACTCCATCCACTGTAGGACATCACTGACTCCATCCACTGTAGGACATCACTGACTCCATCCACTGTAGGACATCACTGACTCCATCCACTGTAGGACATCACTGACTCCATCCACTGTAGGACACTGACTCCATCCACTGTAGGACATCACTGACTCCATTCACTGTAGGACACTGACTCCATCCACTGTAGGACATCACTGACTCCATCCACTGTTAGGACATCACTGACTCCATCCACTGTTAGGGCATTACTGACTCCATCCACTGTAGGACACTGACTCCATCCACTGTAGGACATCACTGACTCCATCCACTGTAGGACATCACTGACTCCATCCACTGTTAGGGCATTACTGACTCCATCCACTGTAGGACACTGACTCCATCCACTGTAGGACATCACTGACTCCATCCACTGTAGGACACTGACTCCATCCACTGTAGGACATCACTGACTCCATCCACTGTAGGACATTACTGACTCCAGCTGTGACGTTACGACAGCTGGGCATAGTGCTGACCTAAATATGACTTTATATGCTCGGGTCAGATAAATTAATAAACTCTATTGCATCTGCACCTTTGGCCTTCTTTACTAACTCTTCTATTATATACTTCATTTAGGATATGGAAAGTGGGAGGGGGGGGGGGATTTTTCTTTAACCAGGAAACCGATAATTGTAACTCAAACAAGCTCAAATTGTATGTCAGGCTAAAAATCTTTGTGTTTCATTTTGGTTTAATTAGTGTATGTTAGGTCTAACAAACAAGATTACCATGTTGTATTTATTTTTAAAAAGGAAAAACATGAAAAATAAAAACTAGAAAAATATCAAAGTACATTTGTTTAATAAGACTTACATTTTAAAGTATTTATAACTAAATGCATGAACAGACTATCTACAACCGTAGTAATTGTTTCCTATTCAAAATTTAACTGCTGAAAAAATAAGTTTAAAAGAAATCGTCATGTGTCACAAATAAATCTCTGAAAACTCAAGTTTTCTATTTCAAAACAGACTTGATGACCCCCAAAAAGTAACATATAATGAGAAAATTTTTATTCCGCTGTACATGATGGCGGAATCTTTATGTCCATAGTCATAGTTATACTGGAAGTCGTTTAGGATTCTGAATTAGGTCTAAACGGCATTTGAAAATGGTCAGTTGTTTCGATCAAATAGCGTGTACGACACGATGATGGCGATGATGAGGATGCAGATGATGAGCAGCACAAGAGCCGAGAACGCTGACCAACTGAGGAATCTTGACTCATGGGGAGGGGGTGAGAACTTGGTCGGTCGTAGACATTTGATTGACCCCCTGGACTTGAGACTTGGTTGGTCCATAACAGACGACTGGTCTTCTGTGTCAACACAGGTGTCTTTGCTGACCTGCGAGTAGTACTTGGGACCTGAGTCTACCATCGAGGTCAGGCTGAAATGGGTCAAAGGTCAATCAAATTGACAGGCATCACAAAAGACGTGATCTACATAAATAACTACCATATACAGCATCTCCAGCAGTGGTTCTTAACCTGGGTTAGAACACCAGAAGTTCGGTGAGTCTCGGGGTTCGGCGGAGGTCAAGACACATCGGATTTTGCCTGTGCGGGCTATAGAACTATTAACAAGGGTTCGGTACCTCCTAAAAGGTTAAGAACCACTGATCTAATTACTTATCAACTTGACTTTTATATTGGAAGATTGATTTATGGTAGCATTTACGATTGCCTTCTACTATTTAGAATTCTATTTCCTATAAAATCCGTTCACCAACTTTTAACTCTTTATGAACCGGATCCAAAAAGCCAAACTCAAAACAATGTTTGTGCGTAGAAATTGTGCATCAAATGTTTTGTGTTGCTACTTTTGTTTGACACGGCCTGATGATTTGAGCACATGTATACAACATTTCATTATACGAAATGAACTAATATACCCCACACACACTCACTCACACGCACACACACTCTCACACGCACACACCACACACGAAAAAAAAATCAAAAACAGCTAACATACGTGGCGGATCCGGCAAGCCTGGGATACATATAGGTCGAGATCTGGCAACAAAACTCAAGGTTCTAGAACGATTGTTAGATTGGAACTATTGGCACCATGATAGGTCGTAGGAAATAGTTTGTTGTCTGAAAGTAAATAAACACAACCCTGCATACGCATCGTGCTAAACAGTGCGCTGAATTTTAAAAAAGATACACATTTTATAAAGCTGTTGAAGTAGACTCATTTTAGTAATCAAACACTCACGTTTAAATTGTACAACATAGAAATATGCGTTTGTTGAGTCACACCATATTATCTGTAAACGTGTTTGATAATTCCACAAAACTCGCAAGAATAGCGATATATAAGCTTGGTGAGGAGGCGCGCAAAATTGATAATTTATCCCAGGCGCCGGAATAGGTCGCTACGCCTCTGTCTGAAATACTTTATAATTTAAGCGGCTACATAAAAGTGAGACGAAAAATGGGATGAAGAGAAAAGAAATCCTGTAGTGATGATAATGGTCATCTATAATGTATGGGGCACATGTGTAAAGTCGCTATTGAACTCTTCGAGTTATAGGCCTATAGTAGTATGTGATCGATTCTCAAACTGCTCGAAATACGACAATGTAGACACATCCCGAGACTCAAGTTTATTACACATTTAAGTCTGATTGACTGAATTTATTCCAAAAAGACATGTAATATATAAACAATATTTTCATTAATCAACAACTCTATCTGCAGGGTAGAGAAGAATAGCCCTACTCTCTATCTAACCCATCCCTCCCGAACCATATTGCCCCCCCCCTCCAGGTAATTACTAACGAACCCACATCAGCGTTTAACTATCTCTCTCCGGCGAAGTAATGGGGGGGGGGTGAGATTAAAAGCATGTCTACCATCAACCCCCCCCTCCCCAGAGCTAAATGTTTGAAAGAAACCCCCAACTTGTAAGCCTACACCAAACCTACCCCCCCCCCCCCATGGTAAATCTCCCCCACGCAAATACAGTATCCTCCTCTACACTTAACACACGCGCCCTGAAACTTGCGTCCAGATCAGTTTATATTGTTCAGCGTAAAAAGAAAACAGATATAGATATAGATCTAGAATCTAGTTCTGGTAATAAGATCTAGATCTATGATTCTAAGAGTTTTCAAAAGATTAAGCCGTAAGCGATGTAAAAAATACAATATCGTTGGCGATGATAATTATATGAACGATTGAGTGTAGTTAGTAGACAAATGTTCGTTTGATTGAAGATACACACTTCATTTAAGCGAAAATTTAGAAGTAGATTAAGTTTCAATTTTTACTTTAGGAAATAAGATCTAGGTCTATAACATAATTTCTACACTACAATATTCGACCGACACCGGCTGTTGTCATGTGACAAGCGAGGTATCACATGACGATGTCGAATCACATGACTATTCGGTAACAAACAAGATAGTGATTAGTAGTATAAAAGGTTTGTGAACGCGTTCTCGATTGTGTCTCATCTGTCATCCACGTTGATTAGAATCTAATATCTTTTAAAATGTCCACGCGGGCGGTATTGTTTTGTTTGTTTTTTAGTTTAAGCATTAGTTATATAGTTGCCGATACCCCTGCAAACTGCACATTTGAAGAAGTTGCGGGTGAGTGGATTTTCGATGTCGGTCCAGGAAACAATGATCGCACTATCGACTGCTCCAAGTTTTCCTCAGGTAACCAAAATTTGATACTAACATTTTGCCTTATTTTTATAAATTAATTTAATTATATAGTTCAAATTTAAAATGGAACAGCTGAACACTGCAATTATATTATTATTTTGATGCTGCTAAATTTTAAAATAAGTAGATTATCGGTAATCTATCGTTTTGTTTTAGGTACGTAAAATCGACCGCGACTAGTAATGTGAAAAACAGGTGACTCCTTACATTTTAATAATTATTTCACATTTTGAGGAGGATTTATGTTTTGAAAAATACAAAAATGTTTCCTTGTTTCATTTATGTACCTGTTTCTAAACAATTGAATTAAAACTTTTCAGTAATAAATGAACACCAGCGATGTTTCCAACAGATGCAACCATGCTCATTTACTATAGCAGCCATCTTGTTAAAGTTTTATTTTTATAGACTTATAGCGCGAGATTCAGGCGGAAGTCACTCTATTTTACAAATGGCTGCTGTTTATATAGCAAATCTTGCTTGCAGACACTGCTGTTTAAAGTTAATTTCGGGCCTATATTGATATATTTAGCCATTGATTTAGGTTTATTATTCATTTATCTATAATATTTGACATAAACATATCACAATATACTTCTATTACAGCCTTGACAATGAGGTAACGTTTTCATACATTAATAGCCGCAGGCGATTTTACGTACCCAAAACAATACATTTCCAGATTATCATTACGTTAAGAAGTCTTTATTTTATAATTTTAAATCTTAACTATTGTTTTGTATTATCTTTACGACTTTAGGCCTAATAATAGTGCCTAATAGATCTACTTATTACTTAACCATGCAGAAATTTTTCCTTAGGCCAAAGTAAAATCAAGATTAATCTCATCTACCCGAATGTTGCTGTTGATGAATTTAACAATAAAGGGTTCTGGACTATGATCTATAATCAGGTGAGATCTTTTCATCAACAATTAGATCTAGATCTTAATTCAGCCACTAAAAATGGTTTAGTGAATATTATTAAGTAATAATCTGTCTTTCGTAAAATAATAAAATACAAAATATTCTTCTCTGACTAGCACTGAATTTTAGTTTAGTAAATAGACTGTAATAGATTTGTAAATGTATGCAGTTAAGAAAATATGCCTGCTAAATTATTTTTAGTTTAATATTGGATGTTCTCAAATTTCACAGGGTTTTGAAGTAGTTGTTGCAGGCCGCAAGTATTTTGGTTTTTCTTACTATGTGGGCAATGTGAGCTACTGTGACACTGTTAAAGGTGGCTGGTCACATGATGTCCTTGGTCGTGACTGGGCATGTTACAATGGAAAAAGATCAGCAGCCGTGAAAAAAGTTTTAAACATTCCTAAATCGGATTACTCTCTTAGATTTGGTCAAGGGTGGGTAATTTAAAAAAAAAATTTATGATCATATAAATTTTTTCTTTGCTAGGGATTTCTGCTAGGCTTTTAAAGAAAAAAATTCTTACAAATCCATGTGGTCAAAACATTTGTGATAAAAAAAAAAATTCTGTACTATACTTAATTGTTTGGTCTCTTAAATTTTAATGTAACAGTTTATAGTAAGACTGAACAAAGTCAATAGTCGTTAATTCAATAAGTACAACATGATTTTAGTTTATTTAAAAGTAAAAAAATAATTGCTGCTTTTTCATTTTGAAGTAATGATTGCTGTGCCTTGTAAAATAATTCCAAATTTAACTTATATTTTTAGGCTAAATTCTAACGCTATGGTGTGGTCTATCAACCACGCACAGAGCTTATGGCAGGCTACCACCTACAAACAGTTTGAGAAGTTTACCAAAGAAGATTTCATCAATTTGGCTGGAGGCAAGGGCTCCAGGCTTCTACAGTATGCTAACCAATTATTTCACTACACCATTCAAATAAACGAACACATTTTTATGTAGTTCTTTTCTATAAAAGCATTTAGTGCCCATTTTGAACAACTTTTAAAGATTTTAAGAAATCCACATTGACATAATTACTCAATTGTCTAGCACAATCAGAAAATTATATAGTTGTCTTTAGTGAAAGTTTAAAGTTGAGTTACAGACTAAAACTTCAATGTAAAAAACAATATTCTCTCATTAGAATATGGTTGTTTTAGTATTATAAAAAAAACAAAAACATTCTCTTGTTAGAATATGGTTGTTTTAGTATTATAAAAAAAACAAAAACATTCTCTCGTTAGAATATGGTTGTTTTAGTATTATAAAAATTGAACTTTTTCAGCCGCCCCAAGCCAGCCAAACTGACAGATGAACACCTGAAGATTATGGCCAGTCTACCTGCAAGCTTTGACTGGAGGAACGTCAATGGGGTCAACTATGTTTCACCTGTGAGAAACCAAGGTGAGAATTAAACTTGTATCATTTTGCTTACCTGTGTTGTTGTATCTGTACCAGATTCTATAGGGGCTCTTTCTTTCATCCCATGTTTGCTTTCCTGTGTTGTGATTGTTTCTATCTGAACTAAGATATCCAGTACTAGAATATTTGTAAGCAGTGATAAAGTGCCTATGCGTCCATTTGATTCCTGCACTTTTCCTTTACACACGGACATCACACTCACCCTTCAATTTTGTAAAAACATACCTGACTTACTACACCGCCTATGTCTTGCAGGCTCCTGTGGTAGCTGCTATGCCTTTGGTTCCCTGGGTATGGACGAGGCTAGAGTTAGAATTCAGACCAACAACACCCAGCAGCCTGTGTTCTCTACGCAAGACATCGTGGAATGTAGTCCATACTCACAAGGTAAGGCTAATGTCTGCACACACATTGAGTCATGTCTGCACAAATGTCTGCCCACACATTGAGTAGCAGATATCTTGATTCTCAACTCCTACTCATTCTATCATTTTTTAAGCTTACAGTTAATCATAGAGTTTAACAATATCTTAATTACCGCGGTATAATTTTATTGCTGATATGAAAGTTAATTTGCTAGTGATGTAATTGTACATCAAACTGTACTGTCTGATCACATGACTAACTTGTTAGTTCTATTCTTATTTAGTAAGTTTCAGTTCGCTTGCTGATATAGATTTATGAAAATCTCTCAATCCACTTGCTGATATAGATTTATGTAAATTTCTCAGTCCACTTGCTGATGTAGATTCAAATTTGCAGGTTGCAATGGCGGCTTCCCCTACCTGATCAGTGGGAAATATGCCGAGGATTACGGCCTGGTCCTGGAGAACTGTAACCCCTACAAGGGCGTGGATGGGAAGTGCCAGACCAATCAGAAGTGTCCTCGCCACTATTTCACCAGCTACAAATATGTTGGAGGATACTACGGAGCGTGAGTATTTTGTCTGCATCTCTTGTAGTGGGGTATAAAGAATATAACACTGACTTAATACATTCCTTAACTTTCAGTGGTTTTGTGAAATAATTACAAAACACCAGGAATAGATTTACTAGCCATACTAATAGTGATAAGCAATTCGAACACAAATTAAAATAGGTACTAAGTGTTATTTAAATAGCTTACACTAAAAAAAGTTTTAAATAGCTTAGACCAAACCAAGAACAACTGGTAGCCAAAACTGTGTGTATTGTGTCCCATAGTTGCAATGAAGCTCTCATGATGGACGCCATCTACACAAATGGCCCTATAGCGGTCAGCTTTGAAGTTTACGGCGACTTCATGAACTACAAGTCCGGCATATACCAACACATCCCTGGGCTAGCTGACAAGTTTAACCCTTTTGAAATCACCAACCACGTGGTTGTGGTGGTTGGCTGGGGGGTGCAGGACGGAGAAAAGTACTGGATCGTTAAAAACAGTTGGGGCCCTGAATGGGGTCTGCAGGGCTATTTCTGGATTAGACGTGGGACAGATGAGTGCAGCATTGAGAGTATTGCTGCAGAATCAACTCCAGTCTACACTAACAATAACTAAATTATGCTTTAAGTCTTTCAAATTTGATATCATCGGTCTCAGGATTGTCATCGCAAAATAGTTTTTAGTATACTCATTGCCAAGTTATAAATATCATTAAACTTTATTTGAAACTTTTTCCTTGAGATTCTTGTTTATCCCAAAATTAGTTTTAAATTAGGGTTTTTCTCCTTAAGCTGAAAAAAAAGATTTGAAGTAAAGAGAAAATATGATTGAAACCACTCCCCAACACCTAGGGATACCACCCAAACCCCGCTACAATGGAAGTATGACCTAGCACCCCTCCCACCACCCTCACTGATACCACTCCCACCCTTATTGGTACCACCCCACCCTCTATGGTTTCACAAATGTCATCTGGGTGTGAATGAGCAGTTTCACAACCAAATCAAGTTTACCTTGGTCTGCAATCAAGTCATTCCTTAATGAAATATTTCTCACTTTCTAATTGTCTGTGTGGACTTTGCTAAGCTGAAATGTTTGCCATTTTTCTAGCTGCAATGAAGCAGTGATGATGCAGGCAGTGTACGAGCGAGGCCCCATTGGCGTGGCCTTTGAAGTGTACGACGATTTCTTCAACTACAAGTCTGGGATCTACCACCACAACTACGCACTGCGAGGGGACAAGTACAACCCGTTTGAACTGACCAACCACGCTGTTCTTCTGGTGGGGTGGGGTGTGGACAAATCCAGCGGAGAGAAGTATTGGATTGTCAAGAACAGTTGGGGCACTGGATGGGGTATTGATGGATATTTCTGGATTCGTCGTGGAACTGATGAGTGTGCTATTGAGAGTATAGCTGTTGAGTCCACACCTGTCTACACAAACAATCAGTGATGGTTATAGTTGGTGTTTGTATGTGGTGTTTGTATGTGGTGTTTGTATGTGGTGTTTGTGTGTGTTGTTTGTAGTTTTTTGTTACAAGAAAGATGCTGAGAGCAAGTATGAGTATGTGCAATACTGAATCTGAAACATGTTTACGTTTTTTTTTAATTTAGAGAATAAAAATATTTTTAGTAGATTTCTTGTTCTTTATTTCTAGAATTTAAATTTATCTTTGTTAAGTATTAACAATGAATAGCATATACTATCTTAAAGTATTTGAGTCAACATTGAATGGCCACATACCATCTTAAAGTAAATAACAAATGATCATGTAAACAAATAGTCCAGCTGGTGTCTTGGTTGATAAGGTTTATCTCAAGCAGTTCAAAGTTCACAAGGCAGATAACTCCAGAGTGTTGAGATTATTTACTCTTGACTCTTGCAGTCAGCCAACATTGTTGCTAAAAATAACTTGTAGGGGAATATGCTAGTCTAGTACAACCAATTTCTAATGTAGCTACTTTAGTCTGCTCTGAAATATGCTAGTCTTGTACAACCAATTTCTAATGTAGCTACTTTAGTCTGCTCTGAAATATGCTAGTCTTGTACAACCAATTTCTAATGTAGTTACTTTAGTCTGCTCTGAAATATGCTAGTCTTGTACAACCAATTTCTAATGTAGTTACTTTAGTCTGCTCTGAAATATGCTAGTCTTGTACAACCAATTTCTAATGTAGCTACTTTAGTCTGCTCTGAAATATGCTGTCTTGTACAACCTAATCCTAATCGAGGGCTATTTAATCTCTTTAGCAGAGCAAATGGATGAACTCTTGTTAATTAGTTCTGTGTAAAGCCAGCTGATAAAGTTGTTTTTTTTTCTATAGCTGTTTATTTCTGCCTATTTGATCGTTAAATTGATAAGAACTGACAGCATAGAGCTTTGACATCATTGTAAACACAGACTATTAAAAAGAACAGTAAGAAATGTTAACACCCAGACTGTTCCGTGAACTACTAACCAAAAGCAGGGGCGTAGCGAGGGGCGGGGACCGCACCGGATGACACCATTTAGGGGGGCGACCCCAAGGCAAAAAAATAGCAAAATATATAGAGAAAAACTTGAGGGGGGGGGGTGCAAATCGAAAATTTGAAAGTTTGTCCCCGGGAAGGGTCGCTACGCCTCTGGGGGGTGACACCATTAAGTGCCGCACCGGGTGACACCCGACCTCGCTACGCCACTGACCAAAAGAAATACATCTGATACGATAGTCAGACAGCCAACAAACCAATGGAAGAAACAGAGTCCCATGAGTTTCAACATGCGTTTATTGGTGTGTGTATAAAGTAAAGCCATGGGTACAGAGGTGTAAAAATAAAAAAAACCGAACAAGGAGATGAACTAAAGTAAACCAGATGAAGTACAGTACAGCGGTGTCATAGGACGTGCACCTGTATGGCGCGACCAGGTGAGCTGTAGTGGGGGGGGGGGGGGGTCTGCCTTCATCCCCCACACACAAGATCTAACCCTTACACTAGCTGATTCCACACAGAACCCACAACTGCTTGTATAAGTTACACATCCCTCTCTAAAGCCTATAAGACACCCCTACCCCCACCGTTACATTATTCAGATCAGCACCTGAGTAGTTCTACTTGCTATTTATTTGAACCGTAAAATAATTGTTGTAACACAACTTTTGATTGGCTGTCATCTCTTTCCTGCAAACATGAATACATTAAAGTGGAACGTGCATGAAGTACTGCGGCCAAGTTTGGTCAATGGACGAAGTTCTGTTGTCTACGTTGTTGGGATGTATTGAGAAGGCTCATGTACATGCTTGATATGCTGTCATCTTGATCAGCTTGTCATCTTGCACAACCTGTCATCTTGTCCAGGTTGTCATCTTGCCTAGACTATGTGTCGACATGTACATCTTGCCTAGACTATGTGTCGACATGTACATCTTGCCTAGACTATGTGTCGACATGTACATCTTGCCATGTGCCGACATGGTCCTTGATTCATGATCTATATACAATCTGTCCATTCGGGTTAGTATGATGAGCCTTGTGAAATTGATTGAAAAGGAATACCACGTCATCATTTGCGTTCAATGGGAGCACACATCCTTCTGTACTTACAAAAGTGCACCACTACCTATGGTGCAGTAAGAGGTGCAGCTGTGTTTGTATCAGCCACGCCCACTTGTTGAAATGCCTACGATACGTCCAGGTATTTGTCTAGTCAATGGAGCAACGTGAGTCTATTATGGTGCCGTGTGTCTAATTGGCACCTCATGACTAATTGGCAGTAAGCGACTAATTAGCACAGAGCGACTAGCTTTCACCATGTGGAGAACATGTACCCTGAGATCAGGGACCAGCCATTCCGTGCTGTCAGCAGCTCATGGCTCAAGGCAGCTAGCCCATGGTTGTAGGCAGCTAGCTTGTGGTTGTAGGCAGCTAGCCCATGGTTGTAGGCAGCTAGCTTGTGGTTGTAGGCAGCTAGCCCATGGTTGTAGGCAGCTAGCTCATAGCTGAAGGCAGCTAGCTCATTGTTGAAGGCAGCTAGATCATGGCTGAAAGCAGCTAGCTCATGATTGTAGGCAGCTAGCTCATGGCTGAAGGCAGCTAGCTCATGGTTGAAGGCAGCTAGCCCATGGTTGAAGGCAGCTAGCCCATGGTTGAAGGCAGCTAGCTCATAGTTGAAGGCAGCTAGCTGATGGTTGTAGGCAGCTAGATCATGGCTGAAAGCAGCTAGCTCATGGTTGTAGGCAGCTAGCTCATGGCTGAAGGCAGCTAGCTCATTGTTGAAGGCAGCTAGATCATGGCTGAAAGCAGCTAGCTCATGGTTGTAGGCAGCTAGCTCATGGCTGAAGGCAGCTAGCTCATTGTTGAAGGCAGCTAGATCATGGCTGAAAGCAGCTAGCTCATGGTTGTAGGCAGCTAGCTCACGGTTGAAGGCAGCTAGCTCATGGTTGGCGGCAGCTAGCTGATGGTTGAAGGCAGCTAGCTGATGGTTGAAGGCAGCTAGCTGATGGTTGAAGACAGCTAGCTCATGGTTGAAGGCAGCTAGCTGATGGTTGAAGACAGCTAGCTCATGGTTTTAGGCAGCTAGCTGATTGTTGAAGGCAGCTAGCTGATGGTTGAAGGCAGCTAGCTCATGGTTGAAGGCAGATAGCTCATTGTTGAAGGCAGCTAGCTGATGGTTGAACGCGACTAGCTCCTGTAGAAGCTGTAGCTCAACTTCAGGCACGTGTGGGCACATCCTTGCTTTGTGCCGAGCTTTGTGCTGGGGTTATCCCCACGTCGCTGTTGGTGGCGTCACCTCTGGCACCATCACATACTGGCTGGCGACGAATCTCTTTCAATGTCGGATAATGTCTTAGTGGTGAGCCTCTGTTTATCCGACAGCTTGTGTGCCTCTGGTATTTGTCCCCAAGCGTGTAGTGCTACCACTTGAGCACAAACGTCGACATCACGTGATTTGAACATCCACAAGAACCTCTGAGGGCCGGAGTCAGCCGTGGTTGATGTGCTCGTACACCGGGGGTGGGTATAACGGGGGGTGGGGCGACCGGCACCCCGAACTCCCTTGGTCGTAGCATGGCCGACTGGGCTGGAAAGACGTGTACTGATTGGTCGGGACGAACCCCCGACTGCTGTTGTCAACATACCCCTGGCGCGGGGCGGGCATGGGGTTGAACGGGTCCGCCGGGTTGTACTCGCGGAAGATGTGGGGTTTTCTTCGCCCGTCCGGCGTTATGAGGGGCCGGACGTGGATGATGGCCCCGCCCCGGGAGGTGTTGGAGTTCTTGAGGATGCTCTTGACTCGGGTGTTGGGGTTCAGGAGCCTCGGGTCGGGCGGCGGTCGCCTCGGGTACATGTTGGGCTCACTCATGTAGGCGCCCTGGGGTGCGGGCGACCCCCCGAGGTTCAGCTCTTCTTCCTGGCTCGGGTCCAGCCACACGGCCGCCGGCTGCTTCTGCAGCTCGCCCTGCCCGTACATCCTGGACGCGTTCTCCGCGTACATCTGCATGCTCTGGGGGTCACGACCCCGACCCCCGGCATCACTCTCTGAAAGTTTACTGGTGGACACATAACCGTCGTCGTCATACCCCCTGCGTGTGTCGTTATCGCTGGAATCTCGCGTGGTTCCTTCCGTGCTGGACGAGTCGTCTTCATCTCCCTCGTCATCGTCAAACTCCAGGTCGTCCATCCGGCGCTGCTTCTCCGAGATCCTCCACACCGGTCTTGTCGGCCGGAAGGGGAATTCCCGACTGTAGCCGCCAATTTGCCGAGCAGAAACCAGACGTCCCTTCTGGCGCCTGTGCCCGCTGAAGGGCGGAGTGATCTTGTACTTGACGGCGTCGCGTGGGCCTCTCCCTTGTCTCTGAACTGGCGTCATGAGTTTGAAACCCTCCAGCTGGCCGCGTCGTGAGCGATTCGGTTTGGGCGTGATTTGAAAAGGCGGGGTTAACTTGGGCGGCCTGTACCGCTTCTTGTAGGTGAACGTCTTGTCCAGCAACTTGTGGGAGCGGGGTGGCTCTTGGTAGCGACGGCCGCAGGGCGCCACAGAGGAAGATCTGTTGAGGTTCTCCCGGCTTCTCCGTTTGTTGGCGTTCTGGTTGGGGGAGCCGACATCCGCCTGGTACAAGACGTCCCCTGGGTCCTCATAGGCGTAGAACTCGTCGCCATAGCCCGGGTCTATGTAGTACTGGTCGGGGTCGATCCCGTACATCAGCTCGTCTAACTCAGGCTGCTTATCTACAGGGGTCAGAGAGTTTACATCCATCTTACACGGGCAATGTAATATCGACATTTTGTATTTTACTTGAATTATATAGGACATTTTAAACTTAAATTTCGGCATACATTTCCAACATCATTATTGTTTTAACTAGCTATGCTATCAGATTTGTAATCATAATAACAGTCAACCAATAAAATAACATTTAAAATGGTTAATTCCAAGCTTTCCATAGATAAGTGCAGCGCAATGCTGAATTGGTAATAGGGATTTAAAACAAAACGAGAACAGGTATTTAAATGTGTGGACGTACCTTTCTTTGGAGCTGTTGAATAGAAAAAAACAGCCACGTTAATTGTATTCCAAATAAGGTAGAAAATATATACAATCAAGGAAAAATGCTATGGCCGTGGTAATTGTTTTTAAAAATATTTTACTTTTCACTAAATTCGGACAAATACAAATTTAGATTTAATTTGGGTTTAACAGCTATTCGGTGGTATTAGTTTTACTCAGGGGCGTAGCGAGGGGGGGGGGGGGGGGGCGGGGGGTGCGGACCGCACCGGGTGACACCATTTAGGGGGGGGGTGACACCAAGGCAAAAAATAGCAAAATATATAGAGAAAAACTTGAGGGGGGGGGTGCAAATCGAAAGTTTGAGGGGGGGGGGGTGCAAATCCAAAGTTTGAGGGGGGGGGGTGCAAATCGAAAACTTGAGGGGGGGGGTGCAAATCGAAAATTTGGGAAGGGTCTTTATGCCTCTGGGGGGGGGGGGGTGACACCCGACCTCGCTACGCCACTGGTTTTACTTAACTCGAATGCACCTCACCTGAATATGTCTTGAATACAACTGGCCAGAACATGAATGTAACTTACCTAAATATGAATTGAATACAACTCACCTGAAGATGACTATGCAACTCACCTGAAGATGAATTGAAAGCAACTCACCTGAAGATGAATTGAAAGCAACTCACCTGAAGATGACTATGCAGCTCACCTGAAGCTGACTATGCAACTCACCTGAAGATGAATTGAAAGCAACTCACCTGAAGATGAATTGAAAGCAACTCACCTGAAGATGACTATGCAGCTCACCTGAAGATGACTATGCAACTCACCTGAAGATGAATTGAAAGCAACTCACCTGAACACAGGTAGCAGAAGAAGTCATTGCAGAGTTTGTTGCTTGTTTCTACCCAACCTGGAACCTTGGGTGCTACCATTCCTGCAGCTTTTCTCTGTGACTGTTGAGGGGAAGGGGTGTAAGGACGTGGGTTAGGGGTGTGGATTAGAGGTGTAAGGATGTGGGTTAGGGGTGTGGATTAGAGGTGTAAGGATGTGGGTTAGGGGTGTGGATTAGAGGTGTAAGGATGTGGATTAGAGATGTAAGGATGTGGGTTAGGGGTGTGGATTAGGGTACAATAAATCACCCTGATCACACATGTGTACAACCACTTACCCTGAGTGACTGCGCCTCAGACCGACGCTTGTACACACGGGAGCAGTGAATGCACAAGAAGAGCAGGACGAGCAGGACGAAGAAGATGACGACAGAGAGGGTGATGAGCATGTTGCGGATGTCCCACTCCGTCTTCTCCTGCTCCTCCTCCCTCTCCTCCTCCTCCTCTGTCTTGGCTGCCACGACGATCGGCTGGGGAGGGAGGAACGATGGGCTGTCACAAACTGTCACAGAGTCAGGTGTCACAGCCTGTCACAAAGTCAGGTGTCACAGCCTGCCACAAACTGTCACAGAGTCAGTTGTCACAAACTGTTACAAAGTCACGTGTCACAGCCTGTCACAAACTGTCACAAAGTCAGGTGTCACAGCCTGTCACAAACTGTCACAGAGTCAGGTGAACTACCAAGCTAACTTTGGACACAACAATCGTCGCCAGTAGAAATGTGATGATTGTGTTACGTGCTCAAAGAGTAGGTAATATTCACTTTAAAACGTTGATTACTCTGTAATCTCTTCATCAACTGGTTAGTATTGCCGTCAACAACACTTTAATTAGGTTTAAAATCATGGCAGAGATAAGGATTAAACGTATGATGAAGAACCGTTATTAATGATTTTTATAACTTGTTGATGTTGATATGATTTGTGTCAGCGTTATGAAACTGAATGAGAATGTGATCCCAATGAACCCTAGTCCCCTCTAGCCGAGTAAAAATGTACAGAAGAAGAAGAAGAAAACACAGACGTCAAGAGAGAGACAAGCAGACAATGAGGCTGGAATATCTACTTCCGGTTTATTCTCTGCCACGGCCGTCTCGCACCTAGGCCCCTCATACCCGGGGTAACACTCACAAATAAAGTCAGCATTGACCATCTCACACACGCCGTTGTCGCCGCAGGGTTTGTCCCCACACGTTTCACCGGCCTTTTTAGCCGTATCACAATTTTTCCCTGTCGAGAGAATGAGGACATTTTTAGCCGTATCACAATTTTTCCCTGTCGAGAGAATGGGGACATTTTTAGCCGTATCACAATTTTTCCCTGTCGAGAGAATGGGGACATTTTTAGCCGAATCACAATTTTCCCTGTCGAGAGAATGGGGACATTTTTAGCCGTATCACAATTTTTCCCTGTCGAGAGAATGCGGACATTTTTAGCCGAATCACAATTTTTCCTGTCGAGAGAATGGGGACATTTTAGCTGAATCACAATTTTCCCTGTCGAGAGAATGGGGACATTTTAGCCGTATCACAATTTTTCCCTGTCGAGAGAATGGGGACATTTTTAGCCGTATCACAATTTTTCCCTGTCGAGAGAATGGGGACATTGTTTAGCCGTATCACAATTTTTCCCTGTCGAGAGAATGGGGACATTTTTAGCCGTATCACTTTCCCCCTCCCTGAACGATCATTGTTAACTTATGGGATGTTTCAAGACTGCAGGACATTCCAGCATTGTGTACGACGCCCCAGAGTTATTAGGACGTCCCCGAGTTATTAGAACGTCCCAGAGTTATTAGGACGTCCCAGAGTTATTAGGACGTCCCAGAGTTATTAGGACGTCCCAGAGTTATTAGGACGTCCCAGAGTTATTAGGACGTCCCAAAATCTGGAGGACGTCTCTGGTCTGTTCTACTGTTCTCCTGTTAGTATGCCACTCTACTTGTCTCTATGTCTATCAGTCTGTCTGCTTGCTTGCATATCTGCACGTATGTCGGCCTATGTATCAGTCCAGTTGAACTCTACTTCAGCTAGGCGACAGAAAACCTGATGCGTTAAATAGGTAGATCTAAATTTGTAATAAGGGAGGTAACCGGGTTTTCAATGTTTAGATGAATATACTAAGTTATATCCCTTTGTTCTAAAACTGCCCTACCGAATCCCCAGGTACAGCTGTCTAACGCTGGTTGCAAAAGTTTTCAAATTGTGGGAGGTAAACGTTATCTCAGCAACACAATGCACCAGGTGAAAAGTTTCAACTTGACGCATCACTCACCTGTGTCATGTAAGTACCAAATAAACAGGGGTGTCGTTTCCCCCCCCCCCCTTTCAGGAGTGTAGGTTTTGAGAGCACTCCATCCCACCCCATTGAACTACTAATTCGATAACTAATTGGATAATTAGTAATTTTAAAATGAACTTCATATTTTATGATTTATAGAAAATTAATATTTAATGAACTTTTTAATAACATAGCTAGTCCACCAATTATTTCACCGTCCTAGTTGATGTTCATAGATCGATCTCACTGCTGAAAAAAAATCCTTTGTACGTGTGAGTCAATGAAGTCACCACTGAGCTCACCACTTCACCATGTCGTGTTACCTTGGGTCACCTCGGCTAGGTCAATGACCTGTGCAAGAACTGGCCTCACCTTCATAGCCATCAGTACACACACAATGGTAGTGCTCGCCATTGGGAACACACGAGCCGCCGTTAGCACACGGCTCATCAGCACACGGCTCTATTCGCTTCTGACAGGTCAAACCTTTAAATCCTTCGCGACACGAACATTTGAACTGAAATAAGGGAAACCACTCTCAACTCTGCTGCTAGTTCTTTGACAAATTTTATGATAGAAATAAAAATAAAAAAAACATGAAAAACGTAAAAGAAAAGACCGAAGCTCATTTTTACAACATTGTGGGATAAGAATACAAATGTTACTCAGGAAATAGAAGAACTTAATAAATATTAAATGTTTTAGTAAGTAGATGGGGTGTGTACAGGTTTGTTTTGAGAATGAATGTTGTCTATAAGTGGGGTTTGATGGGATTTGTATACAGGTGGGTTTCAAGACTAAATGTAGTGTATAAGTGGGATTTGAAACTGAACGTGTTTTTAAAGTGTTAAAGTGTTGCTTTTTTTTTTTTTTGCTAAGTGACACAGAAACCCTACAATCTTTTACTAACTGTTGTTTTAGGGCTAACGGTACAAGTTTGTTCGTGTTTAGCACATTTGTGTAGAATTTTAAAAATAATTTAAAAAAAAAAGTTTTGATTTGTTTTATGCTAACGAGTTTATGTATTAGTATACCCTGAACACAATTTAAATTTGAAAATAATAATATAAACGCATTTTAAAAATAAATCTACCATGTTAAATGCATGTAAAGGTAATAGCCAATCGTTTTTTAAAAATAGAATAGGTATATGGTCAGTTATATAAAACCACTTGCACTTTATTGTTTTTTTTTCTTTCAAAAGTTAAAGAAATCTAACTTGAAAAAAAATCAAGCGCGAAAATGTATGAAATCGTTGTCACAAATTTCTACATCTGTTCTGAGACTTGTCACTTGCTACGCGGTTTGTGACGGAAATGTTACAGTCTAGATTTGTGTTAAATATGTAAGATATTCCTAGTGCTAATTTTGTAAGATATTCCTAGATCTATACCGAAAGTATTATCAATGATTCCGATACGTGGACCGTATAGTTTGGACAACGCTCCTCCACCTATAGGGAACAGTGTCGCTTTGTCACTTCGTACCCAACCATATGTGGGGGTCACATTTTGACAGAAACAAGAATACGGTGATAGAAATGTCAGGAAGTCTCTACATAATTATTTTTTAACTTTCATTGACGATCTAATTTTTAACTATGATCTCATTTGAAAATTGGTTGTTTTATAAAATGTTTTTACTAAACGTCTAATTGCTAAAATATTTTTGTGTGTGTTTATTTATGATAGTATTTTTATTCAACGAAGTTTTTTCCTTGTTTAAATAATTTTTTACATCTTTGTTTTATCTACACTTTTCTCTTGAATACTGGTGGTTGATGTTGTTGTAGATCTTTCGGATTTGATGTTGTGCAATAGTAGGTTTGTGATGTTGGTTCTGTGGTTTGTGGTAGGTTGAGTTGTGATGTTGGTGGTGTGTAATGCGGTAGGTACGATTATAATGTTGCGGTAGAGTTGAGATGTTGCATTGTGGTAGGGTTGTGATGGTGTGCTGCGATAAGATAGAGATTTTGTGCTGTATTTAGGTTGTGATGGTGTGTTTGTGACAGGGCTAAAGCATTGTGCATGGTAGTGAATAGATGGGGGCGGGCACAGCGTACTACGTCATCACCTCTTGTGGACCGCCAGGGCTACTAAGGTCAATGCACTGTCCCCCATTTAGGCAAGGCTCGTTGTCGCAAACCCCTTCCTCGCCCCGCACAGTCACGTGATCTGAAATGATCAGGACGATGAGCAGGGACAAAATGGCGCCTTTGGTGTCCATCTAAAGCCTAGTAAAAATTGGGTGGAGAATAAGTAGTGATTGAGGCCAAACAAAGTATTGATACATGATTTTAAATTTCTGATCTGAATGAAACATGAACAAATTGTAATATTAAAATGTTCACATGACAGCTAAAAAAGACAGTAGGAAAACACAGTAAAGTAAAGAACCACTGTTTTTATAGTCAAGTGCACGTCTAGTATTGCTACTCTAACATAACCCTGTTCCTTATCCTTAATCCTAATCCAGACCATATTATCCTTGACCCAACCTATAATCCTGGAACTACCAGTAAATTACCATACTGAAATAAAGTTTATCCAACGGACCTTTTTGTAAGAACCAGGCTGAGTCTAGATCAGTGGTTTTAATCTGGTTCGATCGAACCCCAGGGGTTCGGTGAGTCAGTCTCATGGGTTTATACGATATGCGATCAGAATTAGTGCGATTGATAGAACTAGCGGCATTTCTGAACTAGTTCCTGATTGTCAGCAGCTGAGGCAACACCAATTAGCAGTAAATGTTCATTATTATGTTTTTGTTTTGGTGTGAGCATCATACTTAATGGCTCTGTTCTTTAACACAGTGACGATGATAAACGGCTCAGTACAATCCATACCTATGTTTTAAATTTACTAAAAAAAATAATTAATTTTTCTTATCAAGAATGCGCAGATGACGCTGGTAGGGTTCGTTACCTCCAAAAAGATTAAGAACCACTGGTCTAAGATCTAGATCTAGATACAAAAACTTCTAAATGGTAGCAAACTCTAGATCTAGATCTAGATCTAGATCTAATACTAAACGAAGACGAAGACCAAAATTGTTAACACACCCTTTAACACACTAGACTTACAACTAGAGACTCTTCCGGCATCGACAACATAGACTACATGTTCTTGGAAGTAAATCTTGCTGGAACAAGTTCAAGACTGTGAAAAGCCCTTGAAGGTAAACTATCGCCCACCCTGCCTGGGTGTCAGCCATTTTGCGATCACGCCGCGCCGGGTCTCTAGGTCGTTACCCATTGATCTCATCAAGCCTACTCGGCCAACAGAGGTGCGCAACTGATGGTGCGCAAAACGGGCGCGACTACAGCTGAAAAATGTATTAATAGGACAGGAGAGCGGCGTTGCTGGTAAGAAAAAACTGACGTAGGTCGTCGGGGTTACTTGTCGCCCACCACTAATGGACCTTAATATGTTGGTAGGTGAAATAAAGTGAATGTTTTTTGCCGGAGTGAAATATTCTACCTTTTAGAATCGCACTTTTAATCTTGTAAACTGTTATTGTTAACAAGATGTTGAAATTATGTTTAGTCGGTGAAGAATGTGGGAAACAAAAACAAAAGTTAAGGGAAACAAATCTAAAAAGGTAAACTTACCGACGTTCATACATGAGGTCTTCGTAGGAATCAATTTATTTTACAAAACAACCGTCCAATACTATGAGCAAAAATAAGGACCAATATATTGACCAATATAATGTTAAATGAATGGAGAAATATAAAAACCAAAATGGGCAAGGATGTGATTACAGTGTGTAAAAATAAAGAAACTACCTGTCAAAAACTCTCAAAATATCGCTTCTAACACGTCTATAAGTTTTTAAATTATACCCCTTCTAATTAGGTTTTTATGGGACGGAGTGGTCTAGCGGCAGAGAACTGGACTGCTAACCCGTAAGTATCGAGTTCGAATCCGGGTTCAAGTTAGTAGACCGACCCTGAGTCCACCAACTCTGATGGGTACCTAACTCACGTTAAGGAAAGTAAAGGCGGCTGGGCATAGTGCTGACCACACTATCTCTTCATATGCCGAGGTCACAGAAACAAGTGAACACTACTTGCCTCATAGACTGTCAGGTTTGAAAAGGGAACTTTACTTACTTTGATTAGGTGTTTAATGTACGGTACAGTAATATAGTTTGTAGTCAAAATAAAGAATTTCTTCAAATTGGTGGTGTTTTTTTTAATGATTCATAGTGTACAGCTGCATAAGCCATGATACAACTTGAACCAAATGGATACACGATGATACAACATAATACAGATAAATAGGAGTTTAACATAATACAAAATGATACAACGTGATCCCACTATATACACCTCGATACAACTACATATAACATGATACTAAATGAAACAAAATGATACACAATGGTATACCATGAAACAACATAATACAACATGATACAACAGGATACAACATAATACAACAGGATACAAAATGATACAACACGATACAACATGATACAACACGATACATGATACAACCGGATACAAAATGATACAACACGATACAACATGATACAACATGATACAAAATGATACAAAATGATACAATACGATACAACATGACACAACAGGATACAACATGATACAACAGGATACAACATGATACAACATGATACAAAATGATACAACATGATACAACATGATACAACATGATACAACATGATACAACATGATACAACATGATACAACATGATTCAACATGATACAACATGATACAACATGATACAACATGATACAACATGATACAACATGATACAACATGATACAACATGATACAACATGATACAACATGATACAACATGATACAATATAACACAACAACCTGCAACTCTAGCCAGCATGAAACCAAGTCCCTCACCTTTACCTCACCTTTACCTCACCTGGAAGCCTGTGTGTGTCCCTCCCCCCCTCTCCCCCAGCAATCAACCTTCGTGTGGGTGGGGGTAGGTGAGATGTATGTAATTGTGCTTGTCTAAGAACAATTGAAAGCGCTGATGTTCTGGAACCTTCTCCAGCGAATCATGGGTTGTCTGGCGTGTCCCCTGCCCCCCCTCCCCCCCTACATCTGGGTGGCAGTAGGTACCTTCAATCCAAGACCGGCACAATTTACTGCCGACAAAACTCTCACCGAGTCAGTTGTCAACACACCTACCAGCAAATACAGAGTTAGACCTCTCACCTTGGTACCCACTCCCCCCCCCACCCACACAGTCACCTCGGCACCTACACGCCCCACCCCCCTACAGTTTCGTTACAATCGATACGATACTCTTAAACGTTCTGGGATTATGTTGTTGATGTTTTACTATCAAACACAATACACCAATGTGATGTTGTTGATGTTTTGCTATCAAACACAATAAACCAATGTGCAACTGTGACTTGTGTGGTAGATGTTTAATGGATGCTGTGTACGCTTAGACTGATGTCGCAATAATTTTTTTTTGTCGTAAGTAACAGGAAGTAGGTAGATCTTTGGTTACTAAGGACTCACTTCAAATTGGTTATCTGTTATACAAAGTAGTAAGAACTTAAGCTAGAGTAGTCTTGTAAGGACTCACTTCAATTTGGTGTAAAGTAATAGAAAGTAGGAACATCTTAAGCTAAAGTAGTCTTGAAAGGACTCACTTCAATTTGGTGTAAAGTAATAGAAAGTAGGAACATCTTACGCTAAGGGCATGGACTCAATCCTATTTGCTACGTAATATAAGGTAGATATAGCTAGACTAGAGTAGGCTAGTAGGGGGGGCAATGCTGTTTGGTAATAGGCAATAGAAAGTGGCCAGATAAATAACGGAGTTGGTCGCGGGCTTCCAATGAATAATTTATGCTACGCGCGGGTATGCGCGTTCATAAGGCATTCGAAAAGTAAACAAATATGTTAGGGCTAGTGAAATCGGTGCGCAGTTGTTGTTTATTCGTGTGTGGCTGGTTACCATGGTGATGACCATGAGGCTGGAGTGAGCGGAGGATGCTGATGGTGTCCGCAGTGTGTTGGCGTCGGATTATTGTTACACTCCTCATCGTTATCGTCTGCATACAGTCGTCTGAGATTTCAACAAACACGTAAGTCATGTGTTGATACTTCTTCTGTACGCCTTACTTGACTCAAGTCAACTTACTCTACACTTTGACTCAAGTCAACTTACTCAACACTTTGACTCAAGTCAACTTGCTCTACACTTTGACTCAAGTCAACTTACTCGACACTTTGACTCAAGTCAACTTGCTCTACACTTTGACTTAAGTCAACTTACTCTAACTCTACTCATTGTAATCACACCCATGTCCAAATTGGTTTTTATATTCCTCCATTTATTTAACTTTATATGTGTCCATATTTGTCTATATATTTGTCCTTATCTGTCTATATTTATCCGTATTTATCTATATATTTGCCCATATTTGTCTATATATTTCTCCGTATTTCTGTATATATTTGCCCATATGTGTCTATATATTTTTCCGTATTTTTCTATATATTTGTCCATATTTTTCTATATATTTGTCTTTATTAGCCTATAATTTCGTTAATTTTCTTATCTATAAATTAGAACAATAATCCATTTTTATTATTTCCCTTTACTAATAGTTTGTATCTTTGTTCATATATGTGTCTGCCTATTTGTTCTAATATATGTTTCAATATTATGCCCCCTTGTTTGTGAGCCTACTGTAAACTTGAGCGTCGTGTCTTTATACTTACAACAGCTAAACCGGTTTGTCCTTATTTTTCTGGATACTAAAACATTTTTCTGGATACTGAAACATTTTTCTGGATACTAAAACATTTTTCTGGATACTGAAACATTTTTCTACCCTACAACTATTTAATTCGGAACCAGCATGTTGATGACGTAGAGAAGTTCCGATTGAGAGAGGTCTATATCATTGGCTATATCTCTATGGGGTAGGGAGATTTGTATGGGGTAGTGAGATATGTATGGGGTAGGGAGATTTGTATGGGGTAGGGAGATTTGTATGGGGTAGGGAGATTTGTATGGGGTAGGGAGATTTGTATGGGGTAGGGAAATCTGTATGGGGTAGGGAGATCTGTATGGGGTAGGGAGATCTGTATGGGGTAGGGTGATCTGTATGGGGTAGGGAGATCTGTATGGGGTAGGGAGATTTGTATGGGGTAGGGAGATTTGTATGGGGTAGGGAGTGATGTATTTGGTAGGGAGATCTGTATGGGGTAGGGAGATCTGTATGGGGTAGGGTGATCTGTATGGGGTAGGGAGATCTGTATGGGGTAGGGAGATTTGTATGGGGTAGGGAGATTTGTATGGGGTAGGGAGTGATGTATTTGGTAGGGAGATCTGTATGGGGTAGGGAGATTTGTATGGGGTAGGGAGATTTGTATGGGGTAGGGAGATCTGTATGGGGTAGGGAAATTTGTGTGGGGTAGGGAGATTTGTATGGGGTAGGGAGTGATGTATTTGGTAGAGAGATTTGTATGTGATAGGGAAATATCTATGGGGTCGAGAGATCTGCATATGGTAGACAGGTCTGTATGTGGTAGAGATATGTATGTGGTAGAGATATGTAAGTGGTAGAGTGATATTTATGTGGTAGAGTGATGTTTATGTGATAGAGTGATATTTATGTGGTAGAGTTATATTTATGTGGTAGAGATATGTATGTGGTAGAGTGATATTTATGTGGTAGAGATATATATGTGGTAGAGTGATATTTATGAGGTAGAGATATGTATGTGGTAACACCTCTGTATGTGGTAGGGAGGTACGGACCACAGCGGTGTATCGGCTAGACCCAGCCGTAAGAAATTAAAATATGCTAATGAATGCATTCAACTTTAGCAGACGTGTTGAACTACATTGGAGTGTACTGGAAAGTTGCGCCTTCTAATAGCAATTAGCACCCCGTGTAATTAACCTTGGCCTAATTAACTATTAGCATATATACCGGCTGTTATTTTAAAAAAAATTAAACCACATAAGGAAAATATAGGTTAAGCATGGCTCTAATATGTCGGAGTAGCCTCTTTGTGCTATTGATGTAACAGTCCAGGTACAGAGTGCTTACCTTAATCTCTGTTGGATGGCTAATGCCGTGGGAAATTATCCAGTGATTAGAACGATTGTACGTTATTTGAAAGTTGCTTTTGAAAATTGATTGTTTGTAACTAAAATGATTGTATTTTAATGAGATGGATTGTTTGTAACTGAAATTATTG